TCAGTTTTGTCTTACAATACTGCGGGGAAAAATGTAGTATAAGCGTACATTTTAACAGAAAGTTCTTAGTTTCTTTGTGTCAGTGTTCTTAATGAAAACTTTTGTTTCTCTTTATCTATGGATTTCTACCTGTATATTTCAGACATAGTCATGTGACAAGAGAAGATGATAAAAAGTGGCTGGACTTCCTAGTGAAAGCTAACTCACATAACCTTACAAAACTTACAAGTTTAATGCCCCCTTCTTAAAAAAATGCGCACGCAACTTTCTCTTACGGATGTCTAAATTCTCCAGGACCGTTTTTTTCCCTTATTTCTTTCTTATTTTCCTTCTTGGCTGACCCAGATAGGCACGTAAATACATCAGATAGAGCGTACTAGTGACCTGCCAGAGCGATCTCATAACAAACATCTCCTTCACGTCTAGAACAGCATTTTTCTACATTTTTCAACTACTTACCTACCTTGTACCAAGCTGTAACCTTTTTTAATCTGAATGTCAATATTGAATAATACTGCTTAGAATTATGATAGATCTACCTCATAAGATTGATATCATCCAGAACCAAAAGAGCATTGATCTACATCAGCTTATCTTTTTGATTTAGAGACTGTTTTTTTAGAGAGTATTTCTCTTACCTTGTACCTAGGGTAATGTAAACAAACCTATCTCGTACCCTGCAAAAAGCCAGCAGACGCATGGTCGACAATCAAGGGGAATTAGAGCCAATGTTGTAAGTTTTTATCTACTACCATCGATTGATATATTAAATATATTATTATGCCTACTTGAATAAAAAGGTTGTACTAAAATGATATAAACAAGACTGCATAGACCACATAAGTGACACAACTTGAAATAACTCTTAGTACCTGAAATGAAAATAATTGAAGGCCTACCACTACTTTGGTACACCTGCTTTGTACTTGCTGTTGTATTAAGATATCTTCCACAGAATCCTCATGTATCTGATAGCATTCAAGCTCTGCTCAACATCAAAGCTGACTCCAAGACATGCAGTGACATTACAAACTACCACTCAACACACCTTCTACTGAGTACCTGCAAACAGAAACCTACCAGTACCAGCAATAAACCCTGCAACAAGAAGACCTTCCTGGTATATATAACTCTTTTACTTCTTGCTAATTCAAATGATGTCCAACTAAACCCTGGACCCCCACTAAACGACAGTACTGTCTACCCATGCGGCACCTGTGACCAACCAGTAACATGGGATCACCGGGCAGTTGTCTGCGACACCTGCGACCAATGGTACCACTTAAATTGCCAAGATGTTCATTCTAGAACCTATAGTATTTTAAATGAAGATAGTGCTATACGCTGGGATTGCCTAATCTGCAACAACCCAAACTACAGTACTCTGTGTTTTGACCTTCACTCGCTATCAACGTCAAATCCATTTGAATTACTATCGCTTTCAAGCACAAGTCTACAAAGCCCTAAGACACAGTTAAAACCTCTTCACTCATTAACTCCAGAAAGAAGTGCAAACCCAAAGAAGAAACCACCAAAAAAGCTACCACTTAGAATCCTGAATGTCAACTGCCAGTCCATTAAGAAAAAGCAAGACAGAATAGAGAGCACAAAACCAGATATCATCATTGCCACAGAAACATGGCTGGACCCCTCTATCACCGACAACCAAGTCTTCCCAGACAACTTCAAACTTTGGCGAAATGATCGCAAGACAGGCACAGGCGGAGGAGTACTTATCGCAGTCAAGGATTCAATGTTCAGCACAGACATCCCAGAACTCCAAACAGACTGTGAGATAGTCTGGGCCAAGGTCAACATTGTTGGAGCCAAATCATTGCTTATTTGCTCATTCTACCATCCTAAAACATCAGATGAACACAGCCTACTTCAATTCCAAGAATCTGTTAGCCGTGCAACATCAATTAAAGACTCTGTTCTACTCATTGCGGGAGACTTTAACCTCCCAGGCTGGGACTGGAAATCAAAAACACTGAAAACAGGCACAGCCCATGCACGCCTCCACTATCAGTTCTCAGACTGCCTAGATGACAATGGACTTATCCAAATTGTTGAAGATACAACAAGAAATAACAACACTCTTGACCTTGTAATAACAAACCTCCCTAGCAAAGTACAGCAAGTAACTACAATGCCCGGCATATCTGACCATGACACTGTCTTCGTTGAGCTTGACCTCAGCCCTGTCACCCATACCCAAACACCCCGGAAGATCCCACTGTACAAGAAGGCTAGATGGGATAGCATGAAGGAAGACATGGCAACACTCCACCAAACAATCAAGTCTATGGCGGAAAACAACACCGACATCAACACTATCTGGGACAAATTTACAACTACACTGAAAACAAGTATACAACAACATATCCCCCACAAAACTGCTAGGCCAAGAGAAACATCGCCATGGATTGACAAAAGCATCAAAAGACTTATTCGAAAACGTGACCGTCTTGATAAGAAAATGAAAAAATCTCAAGACAAACAACATCAAAGAAATTACAAGAACTGCAAACACTTAGTGCAGAAGAAACTCCGACAAGCCTACTGGACATATGTTGACAGTATTGTAACACCGCAGCCTTCAGATCCAAACATTCACAGCTGTCAGAAACGTTTCTGGACCTTCATAAAACACAAGAAGAAATGCGCAGGAGAGTAAAGAAGAAAGACAATCAAACAATTACTGGACTAAAAGAACATGGACAACTCCACTCTGATCCTAAGTCCAAAGCTAACATTCTAAATCGGCAATTCAAATCTGTATTCACAGACAACATCAAGAGCACTGCTGATGACTTCAAGAAGGGGGACTACGTCAATCCACAGTCAACACATCCTGTAGCCCCTGAAATATCAATAACCACAAACGGAATCACCAAACTCCTTCTCGCACTGAACCCACATAAAGCTGCAGGACCCGACACCATAAGTCCTCGCATCCTCAAGGAATTGGCAACTGACATCGCTTCAATACTCAACACCATCTCCACTCTGTCACTTGAAAATAGCACCATCCCTAATGACTGGAAGAAAGCCAATGTATCCCCGGTCTACAAGAAAGGCAGCAGATATAACCAGAAAACTATCGCCCTGTCTCCCTAACGTGCATCTGCTGCAAGCTCCTAGAACACATTGTCACCAGCCACATCATGAATCATGCCGAAAAACAGAAGATTCTCTATCCTCTCCAACACGGCTTCAGAAAAGGCAGATCCTGTGAAACACAGCTTCTTGAATTCACAGCAGGGTTGCCAGCGGACTTGAAAAGTCAGGGAAATTGGGTATTTTTTCAAGGTCAGGGAATTGTCAGGGAATTTTGAAATTTGGTCAGTGAAAAATGAAATTCCTGAAAAGTCAGTGAAAAGTCAGGGAAAAATTATTTCAAAGGTCGAGAAATATACGCACTGAAGGTCTATCTTGGCCATGGCAGTCTTTAGGCATTTAATATTTGACTTTATCACTCTTACAGTTAAGCATTAAATTCAAATAACAGTAAACTGTGATATTAAGAAGCATTATATGTTAACTTTGTGATTATAATACCCATTATTTACCTTAGAACATCACTCAGTCTAAAGACTGAAAGGCTTTGCAACCCTTGCTATTTCTGTGCATGATCACTAGAAGTGCTTTTACCTACTAGCAATATCTAGTCACTTCACTGTATTCCGTATTGGTCTAGCTATTTCTGTGCATGATCACTAGAAGGGCTTTTAATTACTAACAAAATCTAGTCAGTATACATGTATACCAAACTACCATATTGGCATATAACCTGCTTTGCTTTTTGCTTTGACACTAAGAAATTGTACAAGAGGATTTGTCTTGCAAACATGATGGAAACTGGTTAAATTATGCAATGCACTAACTTTTTTTCACACTAACTTACTTCACTCATTCAAAGTCTTTAATTTTACAGTGATTATTTCATGATATGCCAAAATGAGCCCTATGTTCTTGTTTTCACAATCAGTGGAGTTTATCATGATGCCTTATACAAGTAACTGTGTTAAATGTTTATTGTTCTTATAGTTTAGAGATGTTTAAATTTTAAGTTTTGTCATACAAGTATTTCTCTTATAGTCTTGGTGTTTTATGTGTTACTACTAGGAAGGAAAGAGTGACTTATGTGATTTCTAATACAGATGCTTTTATATTATGATTCTTCTGATTTTTATGTCATATGTTTCACTGACCAACAGTCACACTGTGTTTGAATAGAAATAGTTAAGAATAGTAGAACACAATGTTTGAATCATTACTTTGATGTAAATGATTTTTGTTTTGGAAAATGAATACAATTTTACATGCAAAAATATAATGGGAGGATTGGACGGGTGTAGGGGAGGTCAGGAGACGATTTTGGTCAGTGAAAAACATGAATTGGTCAGTGAAAAGTCAGGGAAAAGTCAGGGAATTTTATTTCACCAAAGTGCTGGCAACCCTGCACAGATGACATAACCCGGAACATGGAAAATTGCAAACAGACTGATGTTCTCATCATGGACTTCGCCAAGGCCTTCGACAAAGTATGTCACAGCCTTTTATCCCACAAACTGGAGCACTACGGCATCATAGGCAAGACCAACCTGTGGATTCAGGCTTTCTTAAGCAACCGATCCCAATCTGTAGTCTTGGAAGGGGTTACCTCAGATACAGTATCTGTAGAATCCGGCGTCCCACAGGGCTCAGTCCTTGGCCCGAGTCTGTTCCTTTTCTACATAAATGACATCCCAGAGAGTCTCAACGCAGTCGTCCGACTATTTGCAGATGATACGCTGGCCTATCTTGCCATCACAAACAAGTCTGACTGTTCCACCCTACAAGCTGACCTCGACAAACTAGCTGTCTGGGAAGAGAAATGGAAAATGTCATTCCATCCAGACAAATGCCAAGTCCTCACCATCTCCAAGAAAAGAAGCCCCATCTGCCATAACTACACTCTTCATGGTCATACTCTAGAGCACGTCACATCAGCTAAATACCTTGGATGCACCCTGAATAACAACCTAGACTGGGGCCAACATATACATAACATTTGTAACAAAGCCAACCGTACCACCAGCTTCCTGCGAAGAAACCTCAACATCGCCTCTACTTCCACCAAAGAAACGGCCTACAAAGCTCTAGTCCGCCCCACAGTGGAGTATGCGAGCACTGTCTTGGACCTCCACGAGAAGGGAGACATACACCGTCTAGACATAGTCCAACGACGTGCTGCACGGTATGTTAAAAACAAGTACCGCAACAGGTCCAGCGTCACAGACATGCTTGCAGACCTTGAATGGAAATCATTACAAGAACGTCGAAAGGAGGCTAGACTGATCATGCTCTACAAAGTCATCAACAACAAGGTCACTCTAGACAATTCAAAACTCATACCCTCCAATTCTACATCTACAAGAAATTCACACAACCTATCCTACAAGATACCCTACTGCCGTACACAATACCGTCAACAATCCTTCTTCCCACGTACCATCAAAGACTGGAACAGCCTACCTCCGGACGCTACGTCAGCCGGTACAGTTGAGTCATTCCGTACTCATCTGTCCCAACTCTATATCTAAACCACACTCTTGTCCGTTTTTAACCTGCACTGTATATATATTCCTCACTATTTTTACTCTTTCTTTCCGTCTTGCGCATTAACCTGGCAGTAAACTTCAGTTAGTTGAAGGTGGCCAGTATATTGGAAGAAGAAGAAGAAGAAAATCTATTCATTACTTTTAAGTTTTTAAATAAAACAGGAAGTTAACAACTTGTTTTTGTTATGTTTCCAGTACAGGAATTATTTCATGTATAGTGTTTTAGCTTGACTATTGGAAGAAAACTGGGGCTATTCCACTCACTCTGTTGTCAGCCAAATGTTGTGGAGTTTACCCATAAAACTTCACACATAACATGAGCATACTTTAAGGTCACTATCAAAAATTCAAAATTTTAGTACGAATTTATGAATTACATGTATAACATTTTATGAACGAAAAAAAATTCTAAAATTCCTCATTAAATTTTGCATGCAATTTCTGTTCACAACCGTAATGGATATTAACTTTTGCCTTGACATATTTTCTAGGTACTATCCTATACAATTAACACATTTGTTATCACTAAATAATTCCCCTTTACCATTTAAAAAAATCCTCCATTAAATACTAGTAACCCAAGCTCAAGTTTTGACTTTCATAGAGTTCAGTTGGACATGTTGATCAGCTGGTATCTTCTTCACACTGATCTTTTAACAAAGATCCTTAATTACAATACATCAGGAAGAAACTTAACAAATACTTGCCAATTAAAATTTTATCCATTGTCTTCAATGAAGGATGTTCAGCTTCATAATTTTCTTTAGATCTATGTTTCAATAATGACTAATTTAAATATTAAAGAACAATTATATTTTTTTCATCTTTTATTTTTCTACATTAATGTTTACATTTACATACAATGTATATACTTCTTCGTATACCTAAGAAAATACCTGACATATAGTGGCTGCACACATACATTGTAGCAAGCTCATATTACAGGCATTCTATACTAATCATATTTCTACAAATTTTATTATTAATATCACTGGTTCATAATTCCAAGAAATTGACCACAGAAATAAATTAAGTTGATTCCAATATACAATTTTAAATAAATATAAATTTATATTAAGCATGGCTTACTTGCTAGGTAAGCTTGCAGATCAAAACTGAACTAAACAATGATATTTAAGCTCGAGAAATAAACATGGTCACAAAATTGGGTTACAGAATGATTTTTTTTTCATTTTACTTATAGAATCTTAAGACAAAACTTTTGACATGTACACATATGTTAACAATTACACTTGAAATCAACATGAGCCAATATTATTTGCATTTATATTTAAATAAGAGAAAGAGGTATTTGTCTTTCTGTTCACCAATACTGGTAACAGGTTATCTGAGACTGGCAATATTTCCAGTCAGGTCATCTGATAATCTGAGACAAGGAATATTTCCAGTCAAATCATCGGATAATCTTAGTTGAGGAATATTTCAGAGTTAAACAGACTAAGATTAAACATTTCAATAAAATTTTTCACTATAATAAAAACACTATCACAGTCAGCATATAAAACATTGTGTAAAAATTTGTATAAATAATTTATATGATATGTACAATAAAATCATTAAGGGACGGACACTAAGAAATACATATTTTAAGAGAGACACTTTAAAATATATTCTAAGAGTTTTGAGATTACTTTTAAAATATTTGCGTCTTAAGTAAAAGGCACAGTGCTTATACAGTAATGGTTTTAACAAGACCAGAGATATGGTAACTTGACAATCAACTTTTGAACAGTTAACTTTCTTATTTTACTATTTATCAAACAAATATAGAATGGAACATTCATTAGTTTAAAGTACTACATTCTTTGTTCCTCTTTAAATTAACAGTTCTGACCAATTCATTTCTGTAAATTAAGTCATTTTTTCTTTAAAATAGTAAGAAAGCAAAAGTTTGTAAACTTTTTTTTAAAAAGCACATGATTTCTATGCGAACACTTCCCTATTGGCACTGTTTAATATCGTCATATTGTACAATATGTTATGGTATTGACAGAGTTAATATGTGCCTTCTACTTTCATTTCTTTCTCAACTGAATCAAGTGCATTAAGACATTGTACTGTCAGATTCATACTGCCAATAACTGTCTTCTCATCTGCAACATCCAAAACTGAAAAAAATAATGTGACCATGTTAACTTTGTATAGACATTATAAACATTTGTCATATCATATTACAATCATATTTTGTTAGGTATATGCAATGCCAAACTATCAAAACTGAAAGATAATGTGATTATGATTTTGTTGAGTTTTTTTAATAACATTAACTTATATGGTCATCATACTTTGTTTGTTTGACTAAGTTTTATGTTGCACTGTCACAGAATAGGTCTTTTGGCAACTTTCCAGCTTAACCGGAGGAGGAAGACCTCAGGTGCCCTTCCTTGCATTACTTCAGGCACAAATGGGCACCTGAGAAGAACCACCGATGTTGGTAAGCTAGCTGGATAACTTCCCCACATGAAGGAACCTAAAGTCCCAGTTGGTATTCAAACCCAAAGCGGTGAGAGGCAAGTGGTTTAAAGTCAACAACCATAACCACTCGGCCACAAACGCCCCCCTCATCACACTTTGTTAGAAATGATTAGAAACAGTGTCAAAATTGTAGAGAACTGGATATAGATTTTAATAAATGCCAAATAAAGTTACTGCCATAATTGTTCTTTTTTGTCAGACAAACATATTAAAAATAAGTCATTATTTTATATTTTTCAGAGTACAAATTTTTCAGTCCAACTAATCATTTCTGCAATTTTTTTCACACTGAGTTGTTTTGTGATAAGGCTATCTTAAATGAAATTCAGCATTAACTGAGAATGAGAAACTTTAAACCATTCAGGAACGAAATGCCTATTGGTTTATATGTTAACATCTCAACCAAGGCATTGAGGATTGAGACTTTCAGTAAATCATGACCATATTTCATCTTGTGATGCCAATTCTGGTTTGTCCAGAAAACTTCATTATGAATGATTTAAGTATGCTCTAAGTTTTCGCTAGTCAGGTTTTTATCAATATGCCTAATGTAAACAATATACTGAAAATTCAATTTTTATCACCATTCATTTAGTAGATGAAAACCTAATAAAGAAATAGCCGACAAGAATAAAACTTACTGTCTATATCTTCCTCAACAACATCTTTTCTATTACGTAGAATATCTCGAACATTTACGAGAGCAACACCAACATCCTCACAGTCACCGTCTTGTTCATCTTCAGGTGGCTCACTCACTAATGTAAACCGGATTCTGTAACATTTCATTAATAATTTTTACCATAAGTTAATCAATATTTCATGTATATATTTAAGTTAATTGACACATTTTTAACTGCTCAGTAAAACATGTATTCTTTATAGATATTGTATACTTTTTTGTATGGTTTTTAATTTAACGATCAAAAATACAAATATAGATATAAAAAGATTATTCCTTTAACTTCTTTTTCACAGTTGGAACAAATTTTGATTTAAATTATAACCATTGCATAATAACAGTATGCACATAAAGAAGTATATGAGGATTAAATTAATAATATAGTAGTGCAGTTAAACACACATTAAATACATGTACATTTAACTTCATGAACAAAATTCAAACATGCTATGTTTTAACTTGTAACCTTAACATGTGAGCTGATGAAATATTACTTTCATTTTCTTGGTTTAAAGGGTTATCTTTGGTTACCAGATATATATGACAAGCAATTAATTCTTTTTCAACATGATGAATAAATTATTGGTTATACTAGAAATGAGATGAAATAAATAAAAAAAAAAAACTCGTGCAGAATTATTAATTTGTATTAAATTGATTATTGTATAATTACTGATACCGCAAAAACATTTTGTATCACCATGCATGCTATCAACCTTCACATGACAATTAAAAATGATTTTTTTTGTTTTTTAAGAGAAACTTACAAGTTGTGCTCATTGACACTGAAAACATGTAAAAAAAACTTTTAACAGTTATTTTGCAAAAAGTCCAATGATTACATTTTGCAGAAAGTTAAATAGTTCCATTTTGCAAAAATTTCAATACTTTCATATCGCAAAAAAGTCAAATAGTTTCATTTTGAAAAAAGTTTAACAATTTATTATTGCAAAGAAGTCAAATAGTTCCATTGTGCAAAAACTTCAGCATATTTTAAGTACATTTTTACAAAAGTGCTAAGTCACATTAAAATGAATAAAAAATAAGTATGATTTGTTTATACAAATGTAATATAATATCATACCTTCCATCATCAGGATCTGAGGGTAACAACATACTGGCTAGGTACTGTCTTCTCTGATAATTCTTCTCAAAATCTACATGGAATGCTGTAAATATCGAGATTTGTATATATTATAATTTATAAACAAAACAACATGAAACTATATCCTAACTGATATGTTACAGGCAATCTATAAATCATAATAAAAACAAATCCAATTAGTTATCAATTACCATTATCAATAAGGTTCCATTACATACATGTATTATAAAAAAAAACAAATACAGCACAACTTACTTTTACTGAAGTTAAACTGTATATTATGATATGGTTTAGGTTTTGGCAGTGAGAATGGTGTCTCGGTCTCTTGTGGGTCAATACCGAGAAATTTATACTCTACAAATAACTGACGTATACTCGGGTTGTTCATGGCGTCAGCGTCTTCCTCTAGTGACACATGGTTGATGGCAACAGTCACAGAGTTACCCTGTATATATATATACACCTTTACATTATAAAAATAAGTCCAAGAAATATTACAGTACTATCTAAATTTATTCCAAATGTTTAGAAATGTTTAAAGATCACAACTTTCAAGCTTTACTATTGGAGGATGACCTCAGGCATGAGCTTGCACCTCAGAAAAACCACTAACCCTCTGTAAGCTATCTGAATAGCTTCCTCACATGAAAATATCCAAAGTCCAGGGATGGATTTGAACTTACAGCAGCAAGGACCAAGTAGTTTGAAGTCAATGACCTTAACCACTAGACTGCAGACACCACAAGCGATTATATAGAAGTAACAATCTCTTTATGGAAATTAGTTAAAAGCTAAACTGTATAAAAGAATTTGCATAAATCTGTATGTTCTCAACTTCTGTAACTGATACATATAATTATATTCAAACAATATTGCTGGTTGTTAAAACAACAATGTATGGTTGTAGTGTTAAAAACTAAAGTTGCTATTAAAACGACTTACAGGTTTGGACTCTGGTTTCTGTTTACGTTTGGACGGTCTTGGTGCCATTACTAGACCCTCACTATCTGATTCTATGGGCGGAGTTTCAGACTCCTCCTCCTCTGTCTCAGGCCGCACCTCCTCATCTCTAAATGTGCTACGCTGACTTGGTTCTGGTGAAATGTCTTCACTTATCTCCTCTGTAAACAATTAACATATTTATTGTATGTCATTAATTTATAAAATATTAACTTTACCTGAAGTACAATATAAGTCTACAAACATTTTCCTTTACAGCCACTTTTCTAAATGTATTTAACTTACATTCTCCTATCTAACGAAAGGCAATAGATGTATCAAATCAAACCATATAAATACATGTGTGGCAGCATGGCCGAGTGGTTTTCGCGTCAGACCAGTAATATAAGGATTGCTGGCTGCTTGGGTTCAAAACCCTGTCAGGGGCAAGCCCTTGTTTCTATGAGCAAGAAACTTTACACTCCTTGCTTAATTCTGGTTGGTTTCAGGAACGGATTTGACAATGTTCTAATAAGCTTATAGCTTCCAACACAATCAAACTAAAATAAACTAGTACAAACTAAATACAATCATTAATATCTACAAGTACTGTTACTGAAGTAAATTTTTTCCAGAACACAGGAAATTCTAAAACAACAGAATGACCAAAAGTTTCTTACCAATACATTTACTAAACTTCTATATAAAACAAAAATATTAGAAAAACAAATATGACATCATTACCTGTGACAGATTCTCTGGAGGCCTCATCACCAAACATGGTATCAGACTTTACCGTAGATTTTAATGTCTCATCCTGGAAAAAAAGAGAATCAAATAATTAATGTCAATGAAATATTATATAAGCTAATATCAATGAAATATTATACAAGCCCTTTTGATCACATCAAACCTGCAAAGATAACTTGTAACATACTCGTAAATTTATGTGTATATTGACATTTATAACTCCACTATTGTTTATTTGAAAAATATTATATTCAAACAGATAACAATATATTTATATAATGTGAAATGGTTATTTTATTTATTGTTTTTTATTAGTTAACTTACCAGTGTTCCTTTCTGTTCATGTGAACCTGAAATAGCAAAGATAACAATATACTTATAGTATACCTAATGTGTTTCCTATCAAATTACATGTACCATACAAATTTTGTCTGAATATTCAATATTTTAATTAAACCTACTTTGTTAATCAATTATCGTAAACTAGCATATTAGATAAATAATGCCAGCTAATTGTCATCTACTGTAAATTATAAACACATGAATCTATTTACGCAATGAAATTTGTCTGAATTGTTAAACAAGAGAATAATTTAGGGGGAAAAAACAACAGAATAATTATAAGCATAAGATTTGTTTATAATAAGATTAAAACATCTTCTAAAACTTTGCATCAATATTATAGATATATGTATAGAAATAATAACTGCCACAATTCTTATAATATTGATTAATATATTCTATTTCTTAAAACATATCCAAACTTTTATTTTTAATTGTACAGTTCTGAAACTTGACTCATTTTACAAGAAGTAAACATCCTAAGAAATGTATGTAAAATTTCAATAACAAAATAACAATGATAACTGAAATGAACATATTCAAGCTGCATTACTTTATTTTTTATGTCAATTTTTACACATTTTCGGTCATATCTTGGGAGTCAACCCACCTAATTGTCTATCCTGGATATTTAAACAGTAGTTACCAATTTCTTCACAAGTTATGATTTAACAATGAAATTTATAATCCAAAAACACATGCAATTATGGTGAAAACTTGATAAAATACCTGACATGTTACAATTTAAACTGTCAATAATAATGAAGTGGGTAGAACAATCAAAACAAAAACAAAACAAAAGTGGTTGCTGTGCAAGCTTTTTTTAAAAAAGAAAAAAATTCAAACGGACGGCCAATTGTTTGAGGTAAGCAGGCCAATGAAACTGTCAACTGATCTCATCAAACAAACCAAGAACAAACAGCTTAAATGTACATGAAACATATAAACAACAGACACAATGTAAATGTAACATAACTATCTCTCAGCATGTATTGATGCTAGTAGTATAGAAACAGGACAATGTGCACATTTTTGTACAATCTATTTAAATGATATGATAGGTTCAACTTTGATATTGAAATATTGATGGACAGTTCCAAAGTCAAAGTTAGAGTAAGTGGATGAAAAGTTAACCAAAGTTACTGGAAACCACAGGTATGAAGCAGGTATAAAGCAAGAGTAATGCTTTTATCTATGATATAAATGGTTGAAGAAAAAAAACAAATATGACATTTTACAACTCTTACATTACAGTCACTTACACCTACATATACAATATACATGTACAGTGTACAAACAAAAGTTACATTGAGAAATATAAATCATTTGCAATTAAGTGCATCATGTTGGACCAGTAATTTTAGAGTCATAAGAATGTGCTTAACAGTACATGTATGTATTTCCATGATTAATTTTTTAAACTTCTTACTATCCAGGTTTCCTTTTTAAATCTAAAATATTAAGTTATGTGGATGGCATTCCACAACTTTAACGAATGAAAAAATTGAAGTCTCTATGAATCCACAAATTCTGCTGTAACTTAAACCATTATCTGTTTTAAGAGTAAAAGGTATATTTTCATGCTGGGTTAAGTGACACATATGTATATTATTGTTTCATGCAAGGTATAGGATACTGGATTTACACTATTCATTAAGTAAAGCATATATAGTATTCTTCAGCATAATATGTCTCGGACAGGATACAGGTAAAACAAATTGGAGCATTATCATTTATTACAAGTTGCAGTCCATAATTTAAAAATATTCTAAAGTTGCTAAATAACGCTCTAAGGACAGATTGCTGAAACACACCCCTATATTTTAAACATAGAATCACACTTAACCCCGATGTAAATAACTAAAGATAAGGAATTATCATGCTGAAATAAAACTATATACATGTATATGACCTATACCATGCTGTATTGTTAACAGAGGGAGAGGGTGGAGTTATAACCTATTCCAATTACTATATATTCTGTGACTGTAATTTGTGTTTAATTGAAATATAAGAAATGTTCATGATCATTATAACACAGATATATTGACACATGCAAGGTATGAAGTAGGAAATCAGTGCATTCATGTATGTACAAAATATATGCCACGTATTACATATGGTAGTATCATATACATGCCAGTTTTACCTGACCAATCAAATGTGTTTCTCTTTCTAGGTTGGTTTTGGTGACTGATACATATCTACAATATTTTTCATTAAAAATATATTAATTAATTAATTAATTAACTACAAGTTTGTCTAGAACATGTACCTGTTCTTGTATCTGAAGCCATTTTGTTTTCATCTGTAATACAACTTTAATAGAAAATATTCCAGCCGATGCTCTCATTTATTTACAAAACAGCAAAGTTTTGTTCTCGGCATTTACTATAGGCATTGCATATACAAATACACACAATGCTATAAACCTTACCAGTCTGATATTAGGTCTAAATCAAGCATATTTTATGTCTTTTAGTTGTGATTTTCTTTCATTTCAACACAGGTTTTGCAACGTTGATTTTAGTTTTGTATTAAGCTTTTATCTACAAGATAACATTTTTAATTCTATCTAGATTTCTAATACATCACTCAGAAACAGATACAAATATATATAACACACTGGAAAGATACATGTTAGTAAATACAAACAAACGTCATACTTTATAATGCAAACCAATGGTAAATTATAGCGTGTGAAGGCCAAAAAAGTTTTATTGAAGAAGTGAAAAGCCAAACTAAAGATTTTATGTATGTGAGTAAAACACTTCTTTCTTACACTAAGTAAGTTCTTTAATATAATAAATATCTTAAAGTGTTGGTCAAGTTCTTTTATTATAAAAAATATACAAAAAAAGTGTTTTACTGTTAAATATTTATAATTCAAAAATTTCAAACTTAGAATTAAAGTGAAGAGGACAAACTTTTACTGGCATGGCTGAATTTTGAAAAAAAAAAAAATCTCTTTTAAAACATAAAAAAAGGATTTTAATCCATAGCCCTGTGATTGTTTTAAAATAATCATGCTGTTTTTTCCAATCATAATTTTTCATGTTGAAAGATAGCTTATGCAATTAGCCATGCTAATAAAATTTTAGAAACTTTTACATGTAAGAATCATATCTTTTTCACTGTTTTTTTTTAGTTAAGTTACAATTCAAACACCTTGAAAATGAAAACTATATTAGTACAGTGAAATAAGATGAAATGATAAGTGAAGATAACACAGAAAGAGCTAGTGTTTTCTGGAGGGAAGTTGGGATAGGTGTGGAGTGGCAGCTGTACCTCTACGCTGACTGGTTCTGCTTTGCCCTGCTTGCATGACTACTGGCCCTACTGCTGGCCCTAACTGCTGGCCTCTACTGCTGGCTTTACTACTTGGCGTGACTCCCTAACTGAGCCACGATCGGACTGTACTTCTTCCTCGACCTCCTCCGCAATTTCCCTCGTTAATGTTATATTCTGGCTTGGAACTTCTTAAAATCGGGACAATTTGAAATAATTAGATACTGTATAAAAATTGACTCTATTTGCTTCCACTTTATATAAACTATCATACATCTCTGATCTTTTAAAATTTATCACTGTTACTGTTTGTAAAGATTAACAATTTCTAATCCAATATAGCTCCTCTAATTATATTCAAATGCCATTTGAAACCACTGTTTTTCATGGACCGTTTTTGCCAGACATTTAATTTCATTTTAATTTAAACCTGGGCAAACTGAAAACAAATATTTTTCTCAAGCTCACCCAAATGATTCTAATACTAACACCTTCTCATATTACTCCCTGTAGTTTTTTCTTTCTTAAAGGAACTCCACTGAGGTCCAAAAACCCTTACATAAATTTTTGAAATTTTTTTAGCTGAATCATCTGAGGCATTTAAACACACTGAATGATATGTAAAAGATAATTAAAAAAATATACCCTGAAATAAATAAAAAATCATATTTTTGTGCTTTTTTTCCAGCCCTGATAATGATTTTGAAGGTCTTTTTTCACAACTAGAATAATTTATTCTAAAAAAATCTGAGTGAATGAATGATCTGAAATTTTAGATAAATGATCTAGACCTACATCAAATGTAGCATTAATCTCGAAGAATTATTTTCAGTCCTCTCATGTCAAAAGACCTCAGTGGAGTCCCTTTAACAGTTAATGTTTTCGAAACAAATATTTTAATTGCATGTGATCTCCTAGGTGTAATATTAAATGTTCTATGCTCAAATCTTCAGGTGAAGCTGAAATATTTCTTTAACTTCATTTTTATGAAAACATCAGTCTAACAGGCCTTCTGTTTCCCAGATGTAATGAATATATGTATTAGACAGAACAACCAAAATGTGTTACTTTCAAACACAAATATTTAACCAAAGCATTGTTATAACATAAAAATTTTCATTGCCTTACCTTCATCATAGGACTGGTGGTGGCCGTTTGAGTCACATTTTCTTCGGATCTTCCTGAAACTTTGGTGAAGGTAATGAAACAATGATTATGAAGCAAATAGCTAGCAAGTTACAAATAACTGGTACTAATATCATAGCAAAATAAGTCAAACTACTATGTTAAATTCTAACACCTGTACTTTGCCTACGGTCAAGTAAATGCAAAAACCCTTTGAATAGTGATCTCTGTAGGCAAAGAGCTTGTTAATTCAGGGCCAAATAGGGACATAACTGGGGAATTTAAAATGGGTAATTACCATATTTGTGGGGACATTATGCATAAAATGAGATAAAGCTACATGATATACATCTAAGGCCAGATGACTTGTTAAAAATATAGTGCAAATAAAAAGCAATTTGTTGGCCAAAAAGCAATATTTAAAGCATTATTAAGACATTTAAAAGACACTCCCTACCTCCCTATAGTCACACTGGGTGTATCAATTTGAGCCATTTAAACAATAATAATTGCCACTATCTTATAGCCTACGATACAAACAAGAGAAAACCAAACATAACAAGGCAACTTTATACAAACCTTTCCTACGCCTAACTTTTAAAATGCTTTTCATCTTTTTTCCTTTCTTAGCTAGAAGTATTTTCATATATTTTTTTTCAAATACATTTTCAAAGTTGAATTCAAAAGGCGGTTGCTTGATAACATGATTTTTTTACAGTAAAAGTGATTTGCTTGAAATATTAACAGAAAACTAGAAATGTGTCCATAGGACACGGGTGCCCCCACCGCGCCACTGTTCTGTCAATCTTTTTACTAAGTCAAGGGAAATAACTCTACAAATACTGGATAAATCCACAAGTGAAACCCCAGGTGCAAATCTAAATATGCTGAGCAACCTGCCCATAAGGTTTAATGACTATGTCAAATCCTTTTTGAGTTACATGTACATGTACATGCGACACAAGTTGAAAATTGCAAAAAATTCTTAGTCAAGGGCAATAACTCTGAAAATACTAAATAAATCCAGACGAAAATGTTTGGTGCACAACTGCACATCTGATCAATATTCCTGTAAAGTTACATGACTCTAGTCAAATACTTTTTGAGTTACGTGCGACACAATGTTGAAAATTGCAAATTTTACTAAGTCAAGGGCAATAACTCTGAAAATATATCTAAAAACATCCACACGAAAATACCCAGGTGCACAACTACACATGCTGATCAACATTCCTGTAAAGTTTCATGACTCTAGGTCAAATACTTTTTGAGTTACATGGGACACAAGTTGAAAATTGCAAAATTTTACTCAGTCAAGGGCAATAACTCTGAAAATACTAAAAATATCCAGAGGAAAATACCCAGGTGCACAACAACACATGCTGATCAACATTCCTGTAAAGTTTCATGACTCTAGGTCAAATACTTTTTGAGTTACATGCGACACAAGTTAAAAATTGCAAAATTTTACTAAGTCAAGGGCAATAACTCTGAAAATACTAATAATTTCCAGAAAAAAATACCCAGGTGCACAACAACACATGCTGATCAACATTCCTGTAAAGTTTCATGACTCTAGGTCAAATACTTTTTGAGTTACATGCGACACAAGTTGAAAATTGCAAAATTTTACTAAGTCAAGGGCAATTACTCTGAAAATACTAAAAATATCCAGATGAAAATACCCAGGTGCACAACTACACATGCTGATCAACATTCCTGTAAAGTTCCATGACTCTAGGTCAAATACTTTTTGATTTACATGCGACACAGAAGTGAACGGACGGACGGAAGGACGGACGGACAGACGTTCTCACAGGACAGTAATTATGTGGCTACTCTATTGTTCTCTCTATTGTTCTTTTTAGCCACACAAAAGAAAATAGATACATAAAGGCATTACGGAAAGAATGACATCAAAGAGAAAGAACAGTTACCTATTGTCCCTCTAGCCACATAATTACTCTCCTGTGAGTGCGGACAGACGGACGGACGGACAAGGGTAAATCTAAATGCCTGCCACTAACGTGGGGGCACAAAAAACTAATGAATGGTCATGTAATGCCAATTTCCTAAATAAATAAGGTATACTGCATAATAACCAGTACAATCATGTTTTAAATAAAAAAATTATAAGTTCAATTCTGTTCAAATGCAAGGTAAGAGTTATGGCCCTTAAACTTCTAACAAACACAATGAACATATTTATACAAATCTAAAAAAACGGTTAAACATATATTAGGAATACTTCACAAACATCTCAACTACAGCTGCTTAATTTTGTACATGTATTGAGAATGCCTTGTAAAAAAAAATAAACAAAAAACAAAGTTATCTAAAAGTTAATTGCATAGCAGGTGCTAAAAATCACAAAAATTAGCAGAAATTATGTAAATACCTGGTGTTTGAGTCTCGTTTAGTGTTGTCATGGTATCCATTCCAGACGGCATGATGTTAGACACGGCACGTGACACAGCCTCGTGTACCGTGGCATCACGTTGTAACGTGGTAGGTTCAATACTGTCTTCCTCTGCCTCACTGCTTGATGATGGTAGCAACTGTCTCTGTAATATTATAATACATATAATGATTAAAATCTCAAATTAACCAATATGATGCTTGTGATTAGAGTCTTACTTATTACTTAAGCTTAAGAACATATTTATTTAAGCTTGATTGCAAAAACAAGTTCTTGCTGCAACTTACATTAATCACTCTCGAGTCCGGTTCGTGGAACCAACCAGTACTGGTGTTATATGTAGAAACATGGTCACGACCCAATTAGGGCTGGAACCCATGATCCCTGGCTTGAGAGGCAGACACCTTAACCACTAGGCCACTTATTTAAGTCACATAAAAGAAGAAAATTATTTATCGGATTTTCGCTATAGACATAATATTATGTTTTATGAGCTTTAAAGTTTGAATAAACTTCATAATTATCTATTTTACCTTTGGAGGTTGTCTAGGTTGCCGTGGTTTCGGTTCTTCCTGGGATTTTGGCATTGGTGTTGATGTGGCTGAAGGACCTGGGAACCTGGCAGCCAGTCTGGGAGCAGCCTGGGTTTGAACTTGAGTCTCATCTTGGAAGGCTACGAGTTTCTCAGGAGGTTCATGTGGAGCTGCCTCCATCTGCTTTATAAATATAAACAAATTAGTTCATCAAAAATTTATTTCATAATAAAATAAATATTATTTGTATAAGAAACTGACATCAATTTTGTAGATAACACTATAAGTTCTTATGTTTTAAAGTATAAATTCTTATTATAACATCAACAAATCAGTTAAAGAGCATTCTCTCTATTCCAAACGTAAACAACAATACAACTCTGTAAATGAAGATGGTTCTCTATGTGCTCTAAACAATCTTTTAGTTATACAAGTATGTGTATAAAGAAGACATACAGAATTTATAGATGATATTGAATGAGTGTAGGTTCAATACTGAATTTATTGAACGAAACAGTACTGGTGAGATCTATATACTTCAAAGTCAGCATCCAAAATACTAATCAGAAATTGTGTTATTGTAACACTAGGGTAGGAAATAAACAAAAAGAAGTGAATAAAAGATACCTCGTGTCTTTGAGCTGTAGATTTCAATGCTGAAGGTGGCATGTATGTAAACTGCCAGCGTAGTTCCACCTCAATACAGCCGTTTATTCTACCGTTAGCAGCCTTCAGTTCAAATATACCTTGTACACCTTTATCATGAGCTAATGGTATCAATGGAATATCTGCTATACCCAGGTAGGCCGTCTGCTCAGGATCTGTATCGTCAAACACAAATATCTTCAATGGCTGAAAAACAAAAATCATCTCATTAAATTTCACACTAAATTTCAAATTTTACACAGTTGCAGCCAATAAAAATCTCAAACAAGAACAATTCAATCTCCTCACATTGTTAGAGACAAGAATTCTACAATGATTACTTCATCAAAATAAATCACAATCTGTTACATTTTGTAGTATTGTTTAATGTAGTCCCAGGTGTTTATGTTCAGCAATACATCTAAATCACTTACTCTAACAAATACTAGAATCATTTACATTAGTTCAGATTCATATTTGCATATACGTTAGCATAAAAATTTTTTGACAAGTCAAGTAAGTGTTGTTCCAGAAAGATAATACTTTAAATGTGTGTGTGTGAAATAAAAATTTGAATATAAACATGATAGTGTAAGTAAAGTTTTACCATGGTTTTCAGATATTGATCCAGATCGCCTGTCATTGGTACAGGGTATGTCTTGATGTCGTTAAACTCTGGATTATTTGAGCTGTTTATTATCACTGTATCATGATCATTGTAGTCAAAGAACTGGTACACACAATATGGCGACGGCTGTACATCTATAAAATATCACACAAAATCTATATTTAGAAATCATTTCAACTAATTCACTACAAAAATCATAATATCACAATGTTAACATCTGTATTGTCTCTTTATTCAAATGAATAAGCTGGACATGGTTAAATCAACACTTGAAACAATTAGTGATACCTGTTACCAACCATCAACTAATCATACTGTAGTCCAATGACATATTCATGGCCTATACTTCAGATAATAAAACATACATGGTGCCCTTAAATATGCAAGGTAACGCAAATTTACCAAAAGAAAAATAAACACAACAAAATATCTTTACTCTACTTATTCAAAAATACCTATTTAAACAAATAAGATATATGAAATATTAAAGATATAAATAATCAAAATGAATGATAAAATCAAAATCAATACATGAAACTAATAATCAATAAACATCGAAAAGTTTAATTTTCTGATATTCTGAGAATCTAAGATTTACAAAGTTTAAATATCTTACTATCTCTCCTAGCTTTAAGTCCTGAACATCGTGTAATTTTGATATGTAATTCATTAACATTATCTGGTGGTCTTCTAGCAGCCTCCTCATCCATAGCTTGTAAACTCTCGTTTGCTGCCCGAATATTTGTACTCATATATCCTAGAGCTTTTGTTCTCTCCTGTAACAGTATGTATGTATATAAATTTAGTAAGTATACTGTTTAAACAACAATGAAAAATTCACATTCTTCACCTTTCCTGTTGTCAAAACTTGATAAAGTTAAAATGCTACAGGTGTCCAATGAAATTCAAAAAGAATTATTGAACACTATAACAAATTATCTAAAGCTGGAGAACTTGCAATCAATTATATCATGTAATAAACCTTCTAACTAAGAGCATGTGATCACTTTAAACAAGTGTATCCAAGTAAAATAAAGGCCTTCATTATTCATAATTCTAACACAAACTGCATTTTTTCCTTATAAACATATATCACCCTCATGATATAATTCCTCCCATTGAAACTCCAAATAGTGATTTTATTTAGCGATAAAATAAATGTTGGGGATATATTAATTCTTAAATGATTCAAGTAAGTTATGATGAAAAAAAAAAATCTTTGTATTGATATCATTTTTAGTAATCTCTTAGACTCTACATTAATATTACTGTGATTTTATATATTTGTCATAATATATGATAGAACTAACCTTGTAAAGTATAGTAACAATAATATACAAGAAACATGGCAATGCCATGAAACCAGGTTTTCAATTATCACCATTGTAGATAAATATGTTGTATTTGAAATACAAATACAAGCAACAAACAATGTAACTATGTGCAATGTAAAACATGAATAATGTAGGAGGAATTGCCACTGAAGAAGTGTTCACTATAATATTATGTATAAGGAAAAAAACAAAGGGCCATAATTAGGTCAAAAACTATCCAATCACAAAACCCCGACAATATGTGCCAGGGTGCTTGATGACAAAGCTTCTGTGAAAGTTTGAACAAAATCCGTTGAGAAATGTAGGACGAGTTCAGCACAGAAGAATTTGTTCACTATAATTATATTGATAATTCTGTATAATGAAAAACAAGTTACAAAGTAGACATGAAATAATATATCATATCTTTTTTAAATTACCTCCAAAGATGATATGACCTTTGACTGCCAAATCAAGTTAAAATCATGTAAACAGGATTTTCAATGTTAATGTCACTGTGACCTTGACCTTGGAGCCAGCCATGCGGAACATGCGTTCTGCACTGTGACCTTGACCTTGGAGCCAGCCATGCGGAACATGCGTTCTGCACGTCATCTTGATGTGGTAAACATTTGTCTGAAGTTTCATCAAAATTCTTCAAAGGGTTGAAGAGTTACAGAGCGGACAGGATTTTCAATGTTAATGTCACTGTGACCTTGACCTTGGAGCCAGCCATGCGGAACATGCGTTCTGCACGTCATCTTGATGTGGTAAACATTTGTCTGAAGTTTCATCAAAATTCTTCAAAGGGTTGAAGAGTTACAGAGCGGACAGGATTTTCAATGTTAATGTCACTGTGACCTTGACCTTGGAGCCAGCCATGCGGAACATGCGTTCTGCACGTCATCTTGATGTGGTAAACATTTGTCTGAAGTTTCATCAAAATTCTTCAAAGGGTTGAAGAGTTACAGAGCGGACAGGATTTTCAATGTTAATGTCACTGTGACCTTGACCTTGGAGCCAGCCATGCGGAACATGCGTTCTGCACGTCATCTTGATGTGGTAAACATTTGTCTGAAGTTTCATCAAAATTCTTCAAAGGGTTGAAGAGTTACAGAGCGGACACAATTTCGTTTGACGCCCGCCCATCCGCCCAGCCGCCCATCCGCCCATCCGCCCGCCATACCCCAATCTAATAACCAGGATTTTCAAAATTGAAAACCTGGTTAACAAGAGAACTAACCTTGTAAAGTATAGTAACAATAATATACAAGAGAACTAACCTTGTAAAGTATAGTAACAATAATATACCAGAACTAACCTTATATAGTCTAAGAGCCTGATCCATAGGTACCCTCAGTCTTACCCAGTATTCTACAGTACCAAACCCAATACCTGTACCATTACCAGTAACACCTGTCAATGTGGCCGTACCGTGTATACGACCATATGTCTTATCAAATATCTCTCGAAAAACAAGTTGACAAGCTGCAATAGTGTTAAAATCCTGGCCAAATGATTGGTGGAGCTCCAATGTACAGGATTCCTGAAATAAATGAATACAGAATATGTACAACCACTATCATATTATCATTTATTCACCTAGCATAAATTGACTATAGTTTGTATATTATTAACATATCAAACTAGAACTATCACTAAATGTGATTAATACCCCCACAAGTCTGCTTCGGAAATGAGGATGTTACTAGTAACAGAATACCTTGTAAAAGAATTGAAACATAGAGTTATGGTTGTGGGCAATTAAAGATAATTGTGGTTCATGTATGTTGCATTTCCTTTCAATGTGGTTGGCCATTGATGAAGTTTAATTGAATTACTCTGTAATAAGTCCAGAAAGACAAAGAAAAAGAACAAAGGGTAATAACTCTATAAATACTGAAGATAGAGTTATAGTTCTTGTGCACTGCACTTCCTCTTATTGTGCTTGACAATTGTATGAAGTTGTTTTGAATTCCAACCAGTACGTTTTAAGTTATGCTCCGGACAAGGAAAAGTATCAAAGGGCAGTAACTCTGTATTTTGTCAAAATGGAGTTATGGCTCTTGTGCACTGCACTTCCTTTGAATGTCCTTGACAACTGTATGAAGTTGTACTGAATTCCAAACAGTAGTTCTCAAGTTATGCTCTGGACAAGGAAAAGTAACAAAGGGCAATAACTTTGTAATTAGTCAAGATGGAGTTATGGTTCTTGTGCATTGCACTTCCCCTTATTGTGCTTGACCATTGTATTAAGTTGTTTTGAATTCCAACCAGTAGTTTTCAAGTCATGCTCTGGACAAGGAAAAGTAACAAAGGGCAGTAACTCTGTAATTAGTCAAGATGGAGTTATGGTTCTTATGCACTGCACTTCCTCTCAATGTGCTTGTCCACTGTATGAAGTTATAATGAATTCCAACAATAAGTCTTCAAGTTATGGTCCGGACAAAAGAAAGCAATGGAAAAGTAACAAAGGGCAATAACTCTGTAATTAGTCAAGATGGAGTTATGGTTCTTGTGCACTGCACTTACCCTTATTGTGCTTGACCATTGTAAGAAGTTGTTTTGAATTCTAACCAGTAGTTTTAAAGTCATGCTCTGGACAAGGAAAAGAAACAAAGGGCAGTAACTCTGTAATAAGTCAAAATGGAGTTATGGTTCTTGTGCACTGCACTTCCTCTCAATGTGCTGGACCATTGTATGAATTTATAATGAATTCTAACAATTAGTCTTCAAGTTATGGTCCGGACAAAAGAAAACAATGGAAAAGTAATAAAGGGCAATAACTCTGTAATTACTTTAGATAAAGTTATGGTTCTTATGCACTGCACTTCCTCTCAATGTGCTTGACCATTGTATCTAGTTATATTGAATTCCAACCATTAGTCTTCAAGTTATGCTCCGGACAAAAAAAAGAAGGCAATTGAAAATCAACAAAGGGCAATAACTCTGTAATTACTTTAGATAGAGTTATGGTTCTTGTGCACTGCACTTCCCCTTATTGTGTTTGACAATTGTATGAAGTTGTTTTGAATTCCAACCAGTAGTTTTCAAGTTATGCCCCGGACAAGGAAAAGTAACAAAGGGCAATAACTCTGTAATAAGTCAAGATAGAGTTATGTTTCTTACGCACTGCACTTCCTCTCAATGTGCTTGACCATTGTATGTAGTTATATTGAATTCCAACCATAAGTCTTCAAGTTATGCTCCGGACAAGGAAAATGCAACGGACAAAAAAAAAAGCAATGGAAAAGCAACAAAGGGCAATAACTCTGTAATTACTTTAGAAAGAGTTATGGTTCTTGTGCATTGCACTTCCCCTTTTTGTGTTTGACAATTGTATGAAGTTGTTTTGAATTCCAACCAGTAGTTTTCAAGTTATGCCCCGGACAAGGAAAAGTAACAAAGGGCAATAACTCTGTAATTAGTCAAGATAGAGTTATGGTTCTTGTGCACTGCACTTCCTCTCAATGTGCTTGACCATTGTATGTAGTTATATTGAATTCCAACCATAAGTTTTCAAGTTATGCTCCGGACAAGGAAAATGCAACGGACGTCTGGACCGCCCGACCGACCACCGGGTGACTCCTATATACCCCCCCAAACTTCGTTTTTGGGGGTATAAATATATGGCTAAGAAATAGTAAATCCTTGGTACATTTTTTTACCTTAAATGCTTTTATTCTTTAACAAGAGCTGTCGGTAGGACAGCAAAGCTCGACTATTCTTAGTGCTTGATAGTAAAAAAAATGCTTGATACAGTTACCTCCTCCTGTTTACAGGTTGGGGTCATGATGGTGAACAAGTGTGCAAAGTTTCAAAGCCATATGTCAATGGACTTTGAAAATATTTGAACTATTACAAAAACTTTAACGTAAATTCTAAGTCGAAAAAGGGGCATAATTTTGTCAAAATGCTTGATAGAGTTACCTCCTCCTGTCTACAGGTTGGGGTCATGATGGTAAACAAGTGTGCAAAATTTCAAAGCCATATGTCAATGGACTTTGAAAATATTTGAACTATTACAAAAACTTTAACGTAAATTCTAAGTCGAAAAAGGGGCATAATTCTGTCAAAATGCTAGATAGAGTTACCTCCTCCTGTCTACAGGTTGGGGTCTTGATGGTGAACAAGTGTGCAAAGTTTCAAAGCCATATGTCAATGGACTTTGAAAATATTTGAACTATTACAAAAACTTTAACATAAGTGGTTACGCCGACGCAGACGCCGACACTGACGCCGACGCTCGGGTGACTACAATAGCTCTACTTATTCTTATCGAATAGTCGAGCTAAAAATCATATATTGGCATTTTATTTTGTACATGATCATATGCATAAAGAAGAAGAGTTCAAACAGATCTCAAACAAGTTGAAAAATTGAATAAATAAAAGAAGAGATAAGGATTTATTTATCAAGCTATCAATTATAAATGAAATAAACATCGTACCTTTTGTAGATAGTGTAGGAAGAAATCATCCACTTTCACCACATACTGTGAAGTGAAGTCAAATTCTGGACTGAAAAACAACAGAACAATCAATCAGAAATTCAGATTGGTTTAATTTCATGCCATCAAAAAATACAACTATTTTTTATCATACTATAATAAATCTATGACAATGATAATACTTTCATTTAAAAACACAATCACTTTATATTACTTTTATTAATGAAATCTTCCTCTTTTCAAGTCATTGTAAGGCAAATAAAATATAAGAAAACATGAACTTTTAATTTCAAATCCAAATTTTTGTGATATTTATTTTTCATGCTTACTTGCTGCCCCTCATCACTGGGGTACTCTGTATTTCATATTCAAAGAATTCCCAGGTACAGAACAATGATGGTTCTTCATCACCAAGGAGACGGATGGCCTCGGAAGATAATGATAACTTGGTAACATGTATCTCAAACAAGTTCTGACCACGCTCCAGATGAATTGTCTCATCAAACTGTACTACATCATCATCCTTAAATCATAGAAAATATATGAGCCACGTCATGACAAAACCAACATAATGGGTTTGCGACCAGCATGGATCCAGACCAGCCTGCGCATCCGCACAGTCTGATCAAGACCCATGCTGTTCACTATCAGTTTCTCTACTTGTTATAGGGTTTGTAAGCGAACAGCATGGATCCTGATCAGACTGCGCGGATGCGCAGGCTGGTCTGGATCTATGCTGGTCGCAAACCCATTATGTTGGTTTTGTCATGACGCGGCTCAATTATGATCATTAACGTGGCCTTATGTCCATCCAAGTGTAAGTGGTGAGAGCAAATGTAAAAGTCAAAATAACTTTACACTGCCATAATTGTGTTCAATTTGATATTTTACTATACAAATATAATCAATAATCCATGTGACCTACAGACATTTCTATAAATATTGTTAGGAATGTATTGGTATCATTCAATTTTTAGAGTTGGGGATTCTTTGCATTTGTGTTATTCACTCTATATTGTTTGAGTTTTATGTTGCACTAAAACAGTATAGGTCATATGGCGTTCGTTACTAAATACAAATGTTTTTCTACTCCGATCATTCAAATATGTTCCAAAGCAAATTTAAAATTTGTTCCAAAGAAAATTTTAACATCTCTTCAATTAACCAAATTGAAATTTAAATCTGGAGCATTAAGATGTGTGAAAAAAGTACCACCTCTGCTAGGACAATCTATTTAAGTTTTAAAACACATACCATATCATCAGTAGGTGGCATTATCTTGTATTGTTTTGTTCCATAAGCTACATCTCTCAATTGTGACTCCAATTTCTGTAAATAAAAATATTTTACTGAATAACTGTTGATATTTTAGTAAATAACTGTTAGAAATAAGTACTTTGGTCTATAACTTACCTAATCAATCAAAAAAAAAGAAGAAAATTTAACTACATATATTAACTAGAAATGTGTCCAACACAAAATGAATCAATCATCACAAGATGAATCAATCATCACAAGATGAATCAATCATCACAAGATGAATCAATCATCAAAAGATGAATCAATCATCACAAGATGAATCAATCATCAAAAGATGAATCAATCATCAAAAGATGAATCAATCATCTGACAGGAATCCATAGATTTATAGTATAACTATAGAGTACAAAGTTAAACACTCACTGAGTGTATGGTATCTTTAGATATAATTACCTTAATTCTAGCCTGTCTCATGTCCAACATTCTAGCGTATTCATCCAGTCTCAACTCATACTCCTTCTTTACCTCATCTATCTTACCAGTTGCCAGGGTAACCTAGTAGAAATTAAACCAATGTCAGTGTTTAAACAAAATCAAAATAATTATCATATATTGATACAGGCAATGTCATTGAAATAAAACTTTTTTCATAAATTCAAGTAAAAATATAAGTCAAAGATATATCAAGAAAGTCAATTTACAAAATTTTACTTCAAGTTCAAGGTCATAACAAATGAAATAAAAGACTCAAATAAACTTTACATACACACAGGTGAACAGGCAATTTAAATCTATTAAAACTTTCTCAGGTATGCATATATATTGTATATATGATAATAAGTATAAAATGTATGATCAAGAAAACACAAATGTACCTCTTGTTGATAATCTTTGTTTATTTTATGTTGTACAACAAGCATGTTACGTGTTTTCTCCAGCTCATGTACTGTCTCAGCATATTCTGCTTGTAAATCTAATAACCTTCTCTGAGCATCTACAAATACAAAATATATCTCAAATTATCTTACAATACAACCACTTTTACTATACATGTATATCTGCATGTAATTGTAAAACATAGCTTCCAAAAATGTACAAAGATTAAAAGATTGAACACACTCGGTAACTCAGCAGTTGGTCAAAGAATATTGTCATGGTTAACTTACTGTATAAGCGGATATTTCCGTGTTGAAAAGTTAGCGAATTTATAATTCCAGACATTTCGCATAAGAAAATATTAGTGAATAGCCAATTTCAGAGTCGCATGAAAATTGAAAACAGGTTGGTTGATATTTACGCCAGAGGAAATTATAGAAATTGTTGTCAAATCGCGAAATTCACAATTATTTCCACATTGCTATCTTAACCACTTATACAGTATGTAAATTATTTATATAGATACATGTTTCAGACTTAAGTTATATAACAGATAAGTAAACATACCTTTATCTAGCTCATCATCAACTCTCTGTAAGAATTCAGGATGCGCCTGTAGTTGTTGTTTCTTCTGTTTAACTAGCACCAATGCTTCCTCAATTTCTGTGAAATCTACAGCACTCTCCTGTCATAATATAATAATAAATCAGTGTAAAATACTTGCCATTTCATCTCATAACCTTACAAAGAGACAATTTGAGAAGTGTATTACTTGAACTTAGAATTCTCACTATAAATTCATCATCAGCAAAAGACTATATAACAGGCTTTATGTGATTTCTTTTTGGTGTATAGGGGGATCTTGGTCTTATATTTTCCTAAGTCAGGGTCACGGCAGGCACTGAAATACTGAGTGTGACCTGTTATAGTAAAATCCCTGACAGCAAAATACAAGAAATAGGTCTAACAATGATGTATTTATTATGTACATCATTGTATTTATACTAGATATTCAACATTAAGCCAGCAATGTCATTCTGGATCATACTTGTTATCAAAATAGATTTTCTCCCCTTATGGTCTTATATTGTGCATGTGATAAAGGTAACAAAATAAGAAGAAAATGGAGAAGTACAACACGTCAACACCAGAGCTGGTTTAGGTTATGTTATGAAGTTAATAAAAAAAATTTGAATTTACACAAATAAATGTATATTATTTCTTAACCTATGTCATGTAAATCAATGATAATAAGAGTGCCATCTCACCTTTGTAAAGAATTTCATTTTTTCTACTAGATCATCATATTTCTCCTTTAAGGAGTAATGGTTCAGCTGCATTTCTCTATATTCTGCTGCCATGGTGTCATACTGATCTATAAAATAAAGCAAATTAAAGTTTAAATTACTGATACTTGCAGGTAATGTTAAGTAGCCTCTCAACAAAACTTATTTTTATCACATAAGCAATGGCGCAGAAGTGTAACAAAGTCAATTAATAATATTAACAATATTTCACTAGTGTAATAACACTCTGCTGTGACATCATTTGCCATATATACAAACATAGTGTTAAAGCGCATGTTTAGTATTACACTAAAAACGTGTTTCAATGAAAAATGACTTTTTTAAACTCCTAATCGTTTTTTTGGATATGTGATAAATAGAATATTATATTTGTGCAGATTTAATACTAAATTTATTGAATTCATTGAATAAAACAATATTATGCTTGCCAGAGGCTCACATAATATCATTTTATCCAACTAATTCAATAAATTTAGTATTAAATCTACTCTCATTCATTATCTTCTATTTCAGTCAAACTGACCCTTCCATTATTTCAAGTACAAGCTTGCATGTAGGAGGGATACTGATTTTTTCATAGTGGTAATTGTAAGTATATTGTGTTTGTAAAAAAAAACTTGAAGCATACAAGTCTCTACTTCTGATAAAGACTGATACCCAACAAACTTTCCAAAATATTTGTTTAGAAAATTATTAGTAAATGTAAATGATATATAAATGACAAGCATAAAATATTTAAACTTCTATGTCCATGTGATAGTCTTGATTATTTATTTCAAGATTACATTATTAGGAAAAGAAATGGTATCTCCAAAATGTTAGTTTATTATGTTGCAGGAATATCCCATTTATGCTTTACAAAACATTACAAATTCAAGAAATAATATAGAAAAAATACCTTTTTCAATAGCCAGTTTGTCCAGTATTCCACCCTTCTCCCCGAGATCAGCTTTTAGTGTAGCCTCAAGTTGTGCTATCTGAACTTTGAGGGCATTTTCTCTCTGCCTCCACTCTCGTTCTCTCTCCATATCAAATGCACTAAAACACACAATTGAAAAAAAAAATATAATTTTTATCAAAATTCAGAATAAATATTAATATTACATCTGAGAATAAATATTTATATTACAAATTCTTGCATAGATCAAGTGAAGCAGTTTTATGGGATAATCTACAAAGGAAATAAAGAAATAAACTCAGAATTAAATTTGACCATCGATTTTTGTGTGCATTTCTTAGCAACACTTTTCATTTTTATGTCAATTTACGCAATAAAAATGATTATTGTGGAAAAACAGGACAAGAGAATGATCTAAAAATCAGCATACAATTTATTGGTTCGCACCTACATGGCACACAAATCTCGGAAAAATATTTCCAGTCCTGTCATACCAAAAACCCTCAGTTGAGTCCCTTTAAGAAGGTAAGGTGCTACTCAACATTAAGCATTTGATCATTAATCATGTTGGATATTTTTATGTTGGCATACACATACATACCTGCTAACAAGTTTTTCATTGGCATCTTTTAGTACAGCTATCTCTTTGTTTAAACTGCTCACCTGTTCTTGCATCTATAATATAAACAAGGCATGTTTACAAACAAATGTTTCACGACATTGTTTCAAACATTTGAGAGATTATGAAAAGTATATTCAACTAGTATTAAAATCAGGTAAGCCTTTATATAAAGTGTAGTTTGACCAAGGGTTAGAACTAGGGTTCTGTTAGCAGCTTATTTTTACTTTCTTTATATATATTAATATATTCCTAAAATTCAAAGGAAGATAAATACTTCACCCAACTTCAGTTTGTTTGTTTGGGTATTACTTCCCACCAACACAGTATAGATCATATGGCAGCGTTACAGCTTTACTGGTGGAGGAAGACCTCGGGTGCCATTCTGTGCATTATTTCAGGCATGTAAGGGCACCTGAGTAGAACCACCATCGTTCTGTAAGCTAGCTTGATAACTTCCTCACATACAAAAAAATCCGAAGTCCCTATTGGGATTCAAACCCACAGCGGTGAGGAGCAAGTGGTTTGAAGGCAACAACCCTAACTACTCGGCATTGGCCCAACTTCAGCATGAAAAGACTTTACTTTCCACAAAAAACAGAACCTAAGACAAATCTTGTATACTTTATGAATAAAATAGTTAAAGGGAAAGGTCTGTATGCTAAGATTTGCAGAACAAAAACTTAATCTAAGATGCAAAGAATCTGTCCAAACAGAAGTTGAAAACCCTGCATATCACCCTTCTGTTCTGCAAACAATACATACCTCAATATAATGCAATACAAACCTCAATAAGTTTATGTTGGTTACTAGAGCCAAGTTTCAGTTCATTATGTAAAGCTAGATTTCTGTTCTGTTCTTCCTTATACTGCATGTTTATATTCTCCATTTCCATCAATAATGTGTCATGGCTTCTTTTTACACTTCGTAAATTCTAAAATATATCATACACACGATTTGAGAATATTTAACAATTTAACAACATGCACTGAAAAAATCTTATAGTATAAATATGTTACAAAAAAATCACATTTTAGGTAAAAGTTACAAATATTGTTGATGATAAGTTTCTATCATCGTGATAACATTGTTCTTCGACTTTACATGTTTATATTCTTCAGAAAATCTTGAATCAATTTTCCACAAGAGTTAACAGCTAAATGCAATGCCATTGATAAGTTTGCAAGTGTAACTTAATCATTGCTAACTTTTTGGAAAAACATTGTGATTCCATACATTGTAACATATGTGTAAACAATATGTCATGACATAATGTTATACTAGATAGAAAAGGGCATATATAACAAGAGCTGTCGGTAGGACAGCACGCTCGACTATTCTAAGTGCTTGATAGTAAAAGAGCCTTGATAACGTAAAATTTAGAGCTTGATAATGTTAAATTTTCTAAGTTCACAAAAGGGCTAATTTTTTTTTATAAATTCATGTTAAAGGCCTTAGAGACAGTCTAAGTATACAGTATTGGCTTGACTATTCGGAAGGTAATGTCACAAGGGTGTTTCATTGAGTATAATAATACTAATTACCTATGAATACATAAAATTGACAGAAAAGGTAAAAAAGGCATGTTATTAAGATGTTTTATCAAGTAAATCACTGCTTTATTATTATGAATGCATATAATTGTCCCAAAAAAGGCACAAACCCTTCAGTAATTATAGAGATAACAGCTTACAAGCAAAACTTTACCATGAATTTCTAAGTTGAAAAAGGGGAGAAAAATCAGCCTAAATGCAAGATAGAATTATGGATCTTTGTCAGTGACCTACAATTATGACCCTAAATGCATATGTGAAGTTTTAAATAAATATCTTTAATAGTTATTGAGATATGTAAAACTTGCATGTAAACATTAACCAAGAGAATAAGTAGAAAAGGGGATATGAATCAGCCTTAATGCAGGATAGAGTTGTGGAACTTGGTCAGTGACATACAATTATGACCCTCAAATTATGACCCTCAGTACATGTGTAAAGTTTCAAGTAAATACCTTTGAAGACCTTTAACCTTTAACCAAAATTGCTAAGTTTCAAATGGGGCAAATAATTCTGCAAATATTGCAGGCAGAGTTATGCAATTTTGCAAACTGATGTACATTGTTACTATAAAAAAGTATTTTAAATTTCAATTGAATATCTCAAGCAATAATTGAGATATTTGACTTTACAAAAAAACTTTAACCAAAATTTCTAAGTTAAAAAGGGGCATAATTCTGTCAATATTGTAGGCAGAGTTATCCAACTTGTCAATCTGATGTACCTTGTTACTATAAATAAGTATTGTAAGTTTCAATTGAATATCTCAAGAAATAATTGAGATATTTGACTTTACAAAAAACTTTAACCAAAATTTCTAAGTTAAAAAGGGGCATAATTCTGTCAATATTGTAGGCAGAGTTATCCAACTTGTCAATCTGATGTACCTTGTTACTATAAATAAGTATTGTAAGTTTCAATTGAATATCTCAAGCAATAATCGAGATATTTGACTTTACAAAAAACTTTAACCAACGCAGACGCCGACGCGGACGCCGACGCCGGGGCGACTACAATAGCTCTCATATTCTTCGAATGGTCGAGCTAAAAATTTCATGTGCATATATATACAGAAAACACATACATGTAATTGTAACATAAACATTTTACAAAAAAATCAAAGTAACTTATCTTGACATGCAAATAAATAACAATAACATTAGAATAGGGGAGCTGAATGTATCAAAATATAATTTTCCTGTACATTATCAGGAATTCAAACTTGCCTCTGTTATTAAGTCTTTCAATCCGAGTCTAGATATTTGCTGACAAAAACATATGATTTTATCCATGATATGAAGTTATAGTTTATTTTGTTTATATGTTACTAAATTAACTGCTAGGGAGGGCAACTAAGACTGTATTATTTATGCTTAAACCAAATGACTGTATTATCCATGCTTAAACCAAATACAATGTCTATACATAAATTTTAGCTTTATTTCTACACTGTGTATCATACATTACTAGAAAACAATTATTTATATTAACTTCTGGTATAAAATGTGTTGCCTTATTACATAAAACAGGAAGCCAATAAAATAATTTTAATGCTAAACACATCTTTCAAAATAAACTTATATCTTAATATACTGAGGTCAAGCAAGTGAGACCAATATTAAACAACTGCCTGGTTTAAGTCGTGACTTAAGACTTCTCAAATAATCATAATTGAGCCGCGTCACGACAAAACCAACATAGTGGGTTTGCAACCAGCATGGATCCAGACCAGCCTGCGCATCCGCGCAGTCTGATCAGGATCCATGCTGTTCGCTTAAAAACCCTATAACAAGTAGAGAAACTGATAGCGAACAGCATGGATCCTGATCAGACTGAGTGGATGCGCAGGCTGGTCTGGATCCATGCTGGTCGCAAACCAACTATGTTGGTTTTGTCTTGACGCGGCTCATATTAATCTAGACAAACCTACCTCTTCTAACATGCTATATTTCTCTTGTAACATGAGGAACTTCGTTGATTTTTCTTTAACTTCTCTCTGAAGTTTTATCATGTCAATATTTTCCTGAACATTTGTCCTGAAACAAACCACATCATATCAATATAATTAATTTAAAACCCTGGGTAATTGTCATGATAATGGAGTATAGTATCAAGCCAGCCAATACATATATCCAGTTTACTATTGACTGTTAACAGGTACCTTTTGGTTGCTAACATCAACACATGTTATTCTAAATTAAAGACGACCCATGAACAATACAAAATATTAGCAAATATTTGTTGAATATTGAAAAATGCTCTTTTCCACTTTGACTTTTTTGTTTAAATAAAATGACTTGAATTTTTTCGATTGGACTGGTTTTTTTTAAAAGTTAAGACCAGATGTTAGGTAGTTTTAAACATAACTGCACAAAACAATGGACAAAATAACAACTATAAAACTGTTAACATACTAAAATCACCGATTGTAATGTTTGAAACATCTAATATGACAAAGTGCTTTATTAATAACCATCATTAATGTAATCATAAAGACCCAGATATCAAACATAGTACAGGGCTCATGCTGTCGGTCGCCATAGTTGCCATTTGCGATTATTTTATAAGATTGGCGATTATTTTTGCATTTTGGCTACAAAATCTGGCAATTATTTTTTACTTCCAACAGTGTTTATATAAGGTGTAAAAATCAATAAAGAATGCAGTAGACCCAATTAACACCAGCGGGGTGGATTTAATTGAGTGTCAACTTTTTATCGGTCACGTGCTGCTTACCATATTGCCCGAGGTTATAAAAATACATGCAAGATGTAAAAGTGTATTAGTACTTTAAAGATATTGTCCAGCATTATAATAGCCATCAAATATCTGTCAATTAGCCACAAAAAAATCGTCTTAAAATTGATAAACTGGATATTGACCAACCGAAAATTTACCGTAAATTGCAGTAATGGCAAATTTTGATTTTTTTGTTTGTTTTAAGCTGCTTGACTAAATCGCCAGTGGAAAACAATGATAAAATATTTAAAAAGTATTAACTTCCAAACAACTATTTTCACAACAACCAAAATTGTGAATATTTCTTCAGAAAACAGGAAAAAGTCTGATTGTCACATATTTTCGCGACACCGATAATTTTGATATTTTTTAAAGGTGAAAATAGGCTATGTTCTGTTTAAAAATCTTTACTATCATGGCAGAAAAATTGTATTACATTGGTGATGATGACATTTTTCAGTAACTTATTAAGATAAAACGCTGCATTCTGTGACTGAGTTTGCAAGTGTTATTTCTATAGGCTAATATGACCTAAATCTACTCCAGTTCTGTGTGAAATGTGGAAATTGACAGGGGTTATAGCTGACAAAATTTGATTGGAACAAAAAAAAGAAATTGTATGATAATAGCATTATGTAAATTCATAATGGATCTTTAATATTATTGATATACAGTAATTATACTATATGACATTTTTATTCTGTTCTTTAATAACAATTAAAGTTGTGGTATGAGTTTGCAAGTGTTTAAGTTATCAATATACACAAATGACTATCAGTTTATTTGAGAATCCTTCAGTTTTATATGTTATGTTTATTTAATAAACTGCTTATGTTGTTAATCGCTAAATCGTGAATAGTCCGCTTAACTTTTGGCTATTATTATTTTAAGTTAAAAATATTGGCTATTATTTTATTTGAGCCAGTGTGAGCCCCGACAGTATATCACAGGTATTACCTTTGTTCAGCTGTAATTTGATGTTTTATCTTTGTTAAATCTTCCTCATATTCTTTTTCTTTCAGATGTACCTAAAATAAATGTAATGCTTTTTAATCAAATGCTTTCACTGTAATAACCAAACTTCTTTATACTTAATAAGTTTGATATAAACAATAATATTTTCATCGACCCTATGATAAGTCAATGCCTAAATAGCAAATATCATTTTACAAATGGGGGCTCAAAACAGTGAATTCTACAATTTTCTGTTTTTGCTTTATAATTGCATGTGATTATATTTTCCATATCAAACTAGAAATGTGTACATAGGACACGGATGCCCCCACACGCCACTGTTCTGTCAATCTTATGACTCTAGGTCAAATATTTTTTGGACTACATGTGCCGCAAGTTGAAAACTAAAAATCAACAAAGGGCCATGAAAAAATCAACAAAGGGCCATAATTCTGTTAAATTTGGTCGCAGCAAAAATTCCTTCCTTAACTACCATCTACACATTAAGGTTGTTAATCCCTGTAAGTTTAAGCAAAATCTGCCATCCGGTTTAAGAGGAGTTGTGTTCACAAAATTTCTACATAGTATATAATGAAAAAATCAACAAATGGCCATAATTCTGTTAAATTTGGTTGCAGCAAAAATTCCTTCCTTTACTGCCATCTACACAATAAGGTTGTTCATCCCTGTAAGTTTAAGCAAAATCTGCCATCCGGTTTAAGATGAGTTGCATTCACAAAATTTCTACATAGTATATAGTGAAAAAATCAACAAAGGGCAATAATTCTGTAAAATTTGGTCGCAGCGAAAATTCCTTCCTTTACTACCATCTACACCTTAAGGTTGTTCATCCCTGTAAGTTTAAGCAAAATCTGCCATCCGGTTTAAGAGGAGTTGCGTTCACAAAATTTCTACATAGTATATAGTGAAAAAATCAACAAAGGGCCATAATTCTGTAAAATTTGGTCGCAGCAAAAATTCCTTCCTTTACTACCATCTACACATTAAGGTTGTTCATCCCTGTAAGTTTAAGCAAAATCTGCCATCCGGTTTAAGAGGAGTTGCGTTCACAAAATTTCTAAATAGTATATACACTTCAGCCTCATTAAAACGCTCATGTTGGGGTCCAATGTCTCTACACCTCGTTCTAACGAGGCTCTCATTAGAACGCTCATTGCGAAATTACCGCATTACCCCACCCACTGCATATATATTTAACGCTGATTTTTTTACTTACTGTTCAATGAATATCGACATTATCTTTTTCTAAAACCATTCAATGATGTAAACATATATAATATTCACAAATAATACTAATTATATTTAAAAGAAAGGAAAAACTTTCGAAAGAAAATTATAAATCATGAATGTAGTGTAAAACAGGTAGCCATTACTGTAATGACGTTTGATTAACTAGGGGACACAACTGAAGCTGGACTGTAAATAACACTGTAATTTACAGTCCAGCTTTAGTTGTGTCCCCTAGTAAATCAAACGCCAATTACTTCCTGTCATGGCCGCTCTATTTACAGTGCAGGATTTCAAATTGATTTTGGGCTTGTGGGTTATTTAATTCAGCGAGGTTTACATGTCAAAGATATGTGTGTGAATTTTAGTTTATTTATACTCACCACCGAATGCCAATGTAACAGTTATGATATGAATTTGAGATTTTGGAAACAATTTGAAGACAGGTAAAACAACAAAAGAGCGGATAAACGCTTACCTGGGCATGTTTTTCACACCTTTGGCGATCATAAATGTCCTAATAACAATTGTTTATTGTACTTGGCTATCAAATTGAGCAAGCGTTATAGCGCGCTATAAATCTTAGTCTACTTAAAAAAAAAAATTTTTTTGGGGGGAAGTTGTTTTTTTTTTGTTTTTTTTCGGAGCCAAGGTCTATGAGCGCTCTACTGAGATTAGCGTTGATAGTGAAGAGCGAGTTATCGAGGCTACAGTGTAGTGAAAAAATCAACAAAGGGCCATAATTCTGTTAAATTTGGTCGCAGTGAAAATTCCTTCCTTTACTACCATCTACACATTAAGGTTGTTCATCCCTGTAAGTTTAAGCAATATCTGCCATCCGGTTTAAGAGGAGTTGCGTTCACAAGATTTCGGGACGTACGGACGGACTGACGGACTGACTGACGGACAGTCTGATCAGGATCCATGCTGTTCGCTTACAAACCCTATTACAAGTAGAGAAACTGATAGGGAACAGCATGGATCCTGATCAGACTGCGCGGATGCTGGTCGCAAACCCGTTATGTTGGTTTTGTCATGACGCGGCTCATTTGTCTCTTGTTTCAACATAAATATACCAGTTAAATAGAATTTATAATAATGTAATTATAACATACCTGTTCTCTCAGCTGCCTCATTTCTAGCTCATACATATTTAATTGTTCTTGTTGCTGAGCAACCAAGTTCTCTCTGAAACAACACAACAACTTTATTGTCAAATATGAAAATGGAAATAGTAACAGTAAACATACTATAACTTAAAGTATTTCTAATAAAAGCAAAAAAATTACATTGACAATTTAAAATAAGCAACAATTGTTAAGCAAAATGACATTTTTTATATGGCATTATCAACCCTAACAGAAACTAGAAATGTGTCCATAGGACACAGATGCCCCCACACGCCACTGTTCTGTCAATCTTATGACTCTAGGTCAAATATTTTTTGGACTACATGTGCCACAAATTGAAAACTAAAAATCAACAAAGGGCCATAATTCTGTTAAATTTGGTCGCAGCAAAAATTCCTACCTTTACTACCATCTACACATTAAGGTTGTTAATCCCTGGAAGTTTAAGCAAAATCTGCCATCCGGTTTAAGAGGAGTTGTGTTCACAAAATTTCTACATAGTATATAATGAAAAAAACAACAAAGGGCCATAATTCTGTTAAATTTGGTTGCAGCAAAAATTCCTTCCTTTACTGCCATCTACACATAAAGGTTGTTCATCCTTGGAAGTTTAAGCAAAATCTGCCATCCGGTTTAAGAGGAGTTGCATTCACAAAATTTCTATATAGTATATAGTGAAAAAATCAACAAAGGGCCATAATTCTATAAAATTTGGTCGCAGCAAAAATTCCTTCCTTTAATACCATCTTCACCTTAAGGTTGTTCATCCCTGTAAGTTTAAGCAAAATCTGCCATGCGGTTTAAGAGGAGTTGCGTTCACAAAATTTCTACATAGTATATAGTGAAAAAATCAACAAAGGGCCATAATTCTGTTAAATTTGGTCGCAGCAAAAATTCCTTCCTTTACTACCATCTACACATTAAGGTTGTTCATCCCTGTAAGTTTAAGCAAAATCTGCCATGCGGTTTAAGAGGAGTTGCGTTCACAAAATTTCTACATAGTATATAGTGAAAAAATCAACAAAGGGCCATAATTCTGTTAAATTTGGTCGCAGCAAAAATTCCTTCCTTTACTACCATCTACACATTAAGGTTGTTCATCCCTGTAAGTTTAAGCAAAATCTGCCATGCGGTTTAAGAGGAGTTGCGTTCACAAAATTTCTACATAGTATCTAGTGAAAAAATCAACAAAGGGCCATAATTCTGTTAAATTTGGTCGCAGCGAAAATTCCTTCCTTTACTACCATCTACACATTGAGGTTGTTCATCCCTGTAAGTTTAAGCAAAATCTGCCATCCGGTTTAAGAGGAGTTGCGTTCACAAGATTTCGGGACGTACGGACGGACTGACGGACGGACGGACGGACAAGTGCAACGCTATATGCTCCCACATTGTGGGGGCATAAAAATTGGGGCACCTCAAACTGAAACCTCAAAGCTGAAAACAATATCTTGGAATATATCAAAAAATGCCTTCACATACTATAAGCTATACACACAAACTTACAGTTTCTGGTTTTCTATTCTTGTGTCTTCAAATACACTATGATTTTGTCTGTGCATTGTTGGACTAGGGTGGCCTCCCCTGAAACAAGAGAATAATAAAATAATTCTCTATCAATATACATGCTTGAGTTAAGTATCTAACTTCATGTCTCTTTCATACAGTTTATAATTTTAATATCTTATCTCACTGATATATCATTTCTGGGCTAAAATTCATTTGCCTGAATCTAAAATTCATGCTTCAATGTTTTGAATATTTTTATACAACATCTTTAAATTTTATATCAGGCCACTCTTAAAAAATTATCTGTTTGCTATTGCCGGCCGACCCAGCGAGAATGCCCCGACTCAAAAGTTTTTTTCAGCTTAAAAAATCAGATTATTTTTTATTTCCGCCAAATCAGCCAGGGCATTCCACCTAAAAAATTCCCTCGAAAACAAAAATAAAATCGGAGGAAAATCACACATTTAATATGTAAAGTAACGAGTGATCATTCATGAGGGCATTCTGTGCGTTACTATTTAAAGTATTTACATAAATAGCAACCAACCAGGGAAGGATATTTTCCGTACGTCACGCAGTACTGCATGCGCGCGGCAATTAAGTCGAATTAACTAATAATAGAATGTATCAAATTAAGGTGTGGAAACGGGATTAAAAATAATGTTTGTTCAGTTAATGAATATTTGTAAAGCATTTATATGGTCACTAGTTTACCATGTGGTAATTTTAATGTGCTTTGGAGTACATGTTCGTTGTTTATGACTGCCGACACAGATTAAATACTTAGCCCATGCAAATAAAACATTTCTCTGGTAGCAGCGGGGATTCTGTCAGTAAAATTTACCGAAAAAATAATTTTTTGGAAGCTGTGGTCATTTCATATGCATTATTGTTTTTGATAGCAGACACAAGTATTGCAAAATATCTTCAAGATCATAAAAATGTAAATAAAATATCACAATCAAAGTCACAGATTTACATACGTCTAATTAAACTCCATGTCAAAAATGCACTTACGATTAATAATATGTCAATAATTGACACGATAAATATCCAACATTTTTTACTTGAGCAATAATTAAACATGTGTAATCATTCCTTGACAAAAAGAAATGACAGTTTTTTTTCTGATATATAAAAAAGGAGTGGAAGTCAATTGAGTGTCGGCATTTCTTTGATGATTCGGCAACAACTACAGGTGTGTAAACATCAAAGATTCACAGATTCTTCAGAAGAGCCGACCAGTCATTTGTCAGAGGTCATTTCGTGTGTAAATTTTTTGTCAATTTATATTAACAATGGAAACATTATATTCCTTTTATTTATGGATGCTACTTTTTGCGCGAGTGTTTTTGAGTCTTTTAGCGCTATGGAATTTTCAACAATCTGCGATAATTTTCGGTAACTTACAATGAAATATTTTAACGATCCGCCATTCAGAAATTATAGGCAGACAAATCTTGCGTGTGTTATTTTTTTTACAGACGTGTAATAAATTGAGTAATGATCATGCATCCGTAGAACGAAATGTCCTGGTGAACCACTATAATTTTTCCATTTCGTACGGAATTTTACGCAGGATTAGTTTATCACATCGGTAATTTGACCATGCTTGAATTTTATGTCTTACATAGTCATTTTTTTTATTTCATGTTATGATTACTAGTGAACATGTTTTTTATTGTTTTTGACTGTCTTTTACATGTTATTTTTTTTGCCGATGATGATAGTGTAGCCCAAATTTCCACAATCTGTTACAAACGTACTAAGCGTATTAACTTACGTTCAGTAAAAATTATATATCAAAAAAAAAAAAAAAAAAAGCCTAACCTACCGACCCACTCCTTATAAACTCTGGGTCGGCAATAGCAAACATATATATTATTAAGGATGGCCTCATGTAATTATATCTTTTTTTTTTTTTTGGTTTGAGACTTGGCATTTACACTATTCAGGGCATTTACACTGACCAAGAAGGAAAGGAGAAATTTTTTGAGTTGATTTTTACACATTATGAAGGTTTCATGGCAATCGAAAGAACTTCTCATTTCTTATTTCAGGTCCTTAGAGGCACCTGGATAAAACCACATGTTTTTTATAATCTGACTGAAAGCTCCCTCACAGGAAAAGTGTTCAGTGTTTCCACTTCAGATTCCATTGCTATGTGATTACCCTTTTTGTTTTCTATGCATTTTTCTAAATTTATTACAAACTCCAATGTTGTTCATGTATACATGTAAATTGCATAATCTGTTTTGCTCATGTTCTTATTCCTCAATTTAAATGTTTAAATAAAGAATGTGTCACCTTCATCAAAGGAGATTTGAGCAAACAGAATACAGTAAGGCAATAAATAAAAGTTCAGTGACAAGAGGGGGGATATAAATTGGGTACAAACCTTGTTCTCTGTTCATGCGGAGGTCCCATAACTCTCATATTCTTTGCTAGTCTTGTATCTGGCATTGTTTTATGGATTCCCTGTAAAATATATCATATATTCAATACCTTGACAGCATCAATTCATGACTCTAAATCATGAATCTATACGAAAACTTATATAGACAGAAAATTGTTGGAGCATAACCCCCTGAACAAATGCAGTGATAAGAACTAGCCTATGTCACCAGTATAGGGAGGGTCATGTCAATCTAAACCTGCCTATCCATTCAGTTCAATGTTAGTGATTTTATTTTTCTTATTGAAATCGGCCACTGACAAGAGCTTTTTACCTTCTATATAATGGTGGCCTATAAGTAAGGAAGTAAATTTTATTAGAGTGACATTATCTTATGTACGATATAAAAAACATACATATAACAAATTACAACACCCGGCCACATTGGGCCTATAAGTCACTTTAAACTGTATACACTCTATAAAAGGCCCCTTCAAAATCCAAAATTTCACTTATTTTCAGAGGAAAAAAATTCACAATTCCTTGCAGATTTCGCAAATAATCATACTTTGATTTAGATATTAGATTGTTTTTGTATACTTTATAAATCCAATAGGATATGGATAAATGTTTTGACCAATTGAATCAGTGAGTTAAAATATTTAAAGCAATCTTCCCTTTAATTTGTTCAAAATTAACTTTTCACAATTGTCCTGTTTACCGTGCTATTTTTTCACAAAATGACCAGGCCAAGGCCCCTTCACAATTTTGGCAAGAAAGGCCCTGCTGACAATTCTAAATTAAAAGCAAAGTAAGGCTATGTAACATGGTAAAAGTTAAACAAGAGCTGTCAATGAAGTATGTGCTAGCCTGTTTAAAACCTTGAAAAGAGACAATGAGCCTGACTGTTTATATTGATAAAGGCATTGTGCTTGATTACATGATACTTTAATATACAATTATTTTAATATACAATTACACCATTTCATTAAAGCTGAAAAGATATTCTACTTACAGTGTTTATTCTGGAGGTAGCGTGTGGGTACTGTTGAGGCCGCTTACTGGCTGATGATAATTGTTGCTTAGCAAGCACTAACTGTAACACAAATTAAACATTAATTCATTAGCATTATTTTGACCAAGTTCTATAAGACACAGACATGGTTAAGATCATATATATGGTGATAACAAAGTAAACATCACATTTGTTCAGTGTATTATTTCAGTCATATCATAGCACTTGGATAGAAAATCTGCTTCCACAATGACAGAATTCAACATCAAATGTGGAAAATCAACTCCTAGTTCTTCAACATAAAATATGTAAAACAACTATTAAATACCAGTTAAGGTCATTTTTACCTTGTGAAGGCAAATATAAAATTAAATAGTATTTATGTTATCTTAAGACTGATATTTTAGCCATAGACAACAAGTAGCACGGCATTTAACTGAGTAGATAGTTTAAACATAAAACTCTGATGTACCTAACAGACACAAATTTCATATAAAAGCTGAAAGAACAATTGGAATAATATTTATTTTAAATTTAAACTTTACTATGCACTTTGTGAGATGTTTCAAAATTCTCCACAAATACATTTATGATAAAGAAATTCACATCAGTATCACATCAATTATATTAAAGTAAATTTGCAACAACATTAAATAACTTTTGTCTGTATTATATTATATATGTTTAAAATTCCCAGTTTACCTTTTCCCTGTATTGGTGATTCTGCTTTTCAAGGTCTCTAATCTTATCTTGTAATTCTTCCATTTTCTCTTCTGTCTCTACATCTCTAATTCTTTTACCTAACAAATATACAGACAAATTTAATGGTGAATTTTGGTAATTAAGAGTGAATTGTGGTAATTTATTGTTAATTATGATAATAACTTTAGAACTACATGTAGAAGAAATAATGTCCATAAATGGAAGAAGTAAACAAGAATTATGTATTATAAGATAATGAAAAAATATGAATGAATTTCATCAGTATTTCTCTTATGTAATAAAATAAATTTGTAAGCTATCAACTAAAATTACAAACATGTCAACAAGAACCTAACTCATTTACATAATAAATCAAAGCACAGAAGGCACTGAATTTGTTTGGGTCTCAGAATGTCAGAAAGGTGAAGGTTGTGAGATTATTACCCAATTTGTTTTTGTATGCCACCAATGCTTTCCAGCGTTTTAATTGTAGTAAATTGGCTATAAGACTAATTGCAGCACTGATATTCAATCCAATGTTTATTTGACTTAAACAATTTGAAAAAAAAAATGAGTTGCATTAACTGGGATTTGAACTCCAGACCTCTCGCTTCCTAAGCGAGCGCGCAAACCCCTCGGCCACGGTGAATTTATATGTTAACGGCCTGAAGAAAACCATATTATTCTAAATTAGGTTTGTAACGACGCTAACTGTTGTTTAACACAGATGTAAATAATCATGGAGCTTACTATAAGCATGTATACCTATAAAGAATAAAACAATATTAGAAATTTTCGACCATTCAGGAATTATTTTGCATGAAAATTAATGCGCCTGTCATTTGATCATCTTTACGCAGTGATCTCCCCTGAATTTTTCGGCGTTAGTGTGCATATAAAGGGAAGTAACCGCTTCAAAAATGCGGACTACTTTCGGCAATTGCAATTAACAGCATTAGAGTCTGAAATTTCGCTACCATTCTGACGACCCAAACAAATAAAAACAATAAACATACCACCCCCTCCTCCAACATGGCCTTCTGTGTCCGCAGTTTTCTTTTTATCATTTACCAGACGTAACAACTTTGTTGCCATCCTGAAATAAATTCAATATCTTTTGTAAAAGACATTTTTTAAATTTTCTTCATAAACAGCTAACACAGAAAGTGACACAGACATTGAAATTACATTGAATTAACAATGGACAAATAAAGTGCAAGCTGGACACATACATCATAGATTTTCAGTTAAATTAAGACTAGTTACATAATCAAACCGAAATAAAAATAAGAGCTATCTGCAAGCCTTGACAGTAAGTAAAAAGGCATAACTTCTACGAACTATATAGAAAATAATGGCTTTTACCGATTTTCTGCGCAACAGAAATAGGAACACTGCAAAAAATAATTTCTATTGAACTCCTTTTTCTTTTGAAATGATATAACTGATGCTGAATTCACATTTTGTAAAAATATCATGACGTTTTTCTTAGCCAAAGAAAACATACAGTCATACTCCATGATAACACTTGCCTTTACAAATTAAAAACAGTGAATCAATGACTTTTGATCAAACTGGAATAATTTTTCAGTTAGCAAAACATACCTTTTAATTTTATCTTCCTGTTTGCGGGCATGTTTTTTCAGAATGATGTTTTCCTCGGAAAGACGAAGGTATTTATCTTCAAGCTCACTTCTATCCCATTTGCTCACCATCCGTCTTTGCTGGGCAGCCCTCTGTTCCAGACCTAGAAATTAATTCATTATAACACTTACAGTATTATTCTCAACATTCCACAAGCAAATTAACTAATGGGAGAATATTACAGCAAATATCTATAATACAAGTAATCATTTGATAAAGAAAATAGATATTTAAATTAACTATAAAAACTATCCTGATGACTGTCAGAGTATTAAAACAGGCAGTTCAATAAATTAAAACTGTCAAACTTACAATGGTGTCAATTTAAAGTGTAGTTTCACTATTAAAATTTTATTATTGTATTATAGAATATATAGAGGCAAGAAAAATTTTTTTTAGAGACATAATTTCATGTTTTCAAAACTACATGTATGTAAAAAGTTACTTACCACCAATATTGGTGTCCTTCACAGGTATATGGTCTACATCTGTCATACTGGCATTAGGTACATCTGTAAACCACCTGTAACAGGAAAATAAAACTTTGGTTCACATTACAAGAAAAATTTAACACTTCATTAATAATTAATTAATTGATAAATCAGGACAAAGTTGTTTATGTTTGACTGGATAACTGATTAATTCACAAGGCAACTCTGTACAATCAACAAGAAAGGGTGGAAGTTATATGTTTGTCTTTTTTTTTTTTAAAATGCGTTTATTTAAGGTTGCTGCCGGAAAGCCCATATGGGAGACCATACACTCAAGTCGGGCCATCCTAGAGCGTCCCGCCGAGATTTTTCATCGATTTTTTCCTGCTTTATTGGTGGAGGAAGACCCCAGGTGCCCCTCCGGCCATTATTTCAGGCACGAGCGGGCACCTTGGTAGAACCACCGACCTTCCATAAGCCAGCTAAATGGCTTCCTCACATGAAAGATGTCGACCCAAGTGAGGATCGAACCTACAGCGGTGAGGGACCTGTGATCTCAAGTCAGCGACCGATATGTTTGTCTGTTACAATGTTTATTAATTTATAATGGGGTAAAACTTAAATCAAATATAAAATGTAGACATGTTACATCGTAAAATGGATGTGTTACAATTACATTGTAAAATTGATGTGTGAGTTTGTAGATCTTTTATACACAACACAAATCACATCTGATTTTCATTTAATTAACATGCACTAGCTGCATACCATGATAGCATTAAGAAACGGTTCTGTGATTAACTAACAGGGGTTTGATTTCAAACAAAAAAAAATATGGCAGGTGGCCAAAAAAATTTCAAAAATGTACGACAAAAGTTGCTCAACCAAAGCCCTAAGTTGATCTACACAAAATGGTGGTCATGCTTGACAGTTTGAGTTTTAATTTCGACATGATCTACTGCCTTATAAAATTTGTAGAATGTTTCCTCAAACTGCAGAAATTATTGTTTTTACATAGGGAAATCTGATCACACCTTACTATCAAAGGACACTGTTGCCCTCCCAATATCTTTCATTAAAACATATGGCCAATGTTTTTTTAAATTGGCGGGTAAAGTTAAGCTGTGAACTAGATTCTAGTAAAAATTTCAGCCAAACATGTCCACGGACCCGTAAGTGGCAAAAATTATATTTCCACACCCCTGCAAAGAAGTTTGACAAAAAAGGAAAAATGTTTGACAATCATCCTTTCATGTCATAGGAAGAATCTTACTTCTAATGATCATAAACTAAGCTTATCATGAGAACTATGATGAATAAAACATGTTCAAACCTGTTCTTGCATAGAAATAATAATTCAAATAGTACATAATTTCAAAGACAACATGAGTGCAGGAGGAAAAATAGGAATGATATCATAAACGTTATCATACAAGTATCGAAAGTAGTTGCTAAAGCAGCAAAAATAAACCTCAATATTACGAAAACACAATTTTGACAACCGGAAGTAGTTGCTGCTAATGTAAACTAAAACATTTATAGATGATTAATTTCTATTTATATCTTTATATGAAATATTCCTGCCTTGGAAATAGATCTATTATAATGTGCAAAACTTGTGTATTGAAATTATTGCACATCAAACTACACTAAATGCAGTAATTCTATGCATTTACCTTTAAATTTTCAATTTGGAGGAATTGTAAGATGCGCACGCAAAGTGCAGGTAAAGAACCCAACGAAATAATAAAACAATAAAAGTTAAAAATTATCGTAATGTGTGTGTACCTTTCAATTTCTATATGATTTCTGCTCTGTTGGTATATTTTTGCTACGTAACAAAATATTTTTATTAAAAACGGACAATATGGTAACCTGCACAGGTACTCAGGGTGACTTCTGTCGGGGGCTGCGTTCTTTAAATACCTACTTCCTTTCAATCTTAGATAGAGGGTATTGAATGAGTGTAAGATTAATACATGTACAAGTTGAATAAAGTTATGTTATGCGAGCATCTGGCGAGTTCAAAAAATTTAGTAGTGAACTTACACGATAATATTCTATTTATCACATATCTAAGATAAAGAGTGTTTGAAGTGAAAAAGAATCATTTTTCTATGACGCGCCTTTAGTGAATAAATAGAAAAGAATAGAATAACTTTGATTTCTAAACAAACTATGTTACATGACATGTAAATCACAATAATAATAATGAGATCAAAGATCAAATAAAGACGTTAAAGAAACCAAAACTTGATTTGTATTATAGTAACAACAATGATCTTAAAGAAAAACAAAACAAACAAACACAGTAAATGACAGAGTTTCGCTAACTATTAGAATTAAACATCATAATTATATATATATATATATATATATATATATATATATATATATATATATATATATATATATATATATATATATATATATATATATATATATATATATATATATATATATATATATATATATATATATATATATATATACAAAAAATGAAAACAAGTGCCGGAAAAAAAGTCACATATAAATAAAACAAAAAACACAGTCCATGAGTTAACTTATTTAATTATTTGCCAAACCGGTTTCTCTTATGATCATCAGGGCAAATGTGACGTCGTCGCATAGTAACGACGACGTTTTTGTGTACACATGTGTACGCATAATCTAAAAATAGTAACTTCATTATACGTTACTATTTTTAGATTATGCGTACACATGTGTACACAAAAACGTCGTCGTTACTATGCGACGACGTCACATTTGCCTGATGATCATAAGAGAAACCGGTTGGCAAATAATTAAATAAGTTAACTCATGGACTGTGTTTTTTGTTTTATTTATATATATATATATATATATATATATATATATATATATATATATATATATATATATATATATATATATATATATATATATATATATATATATATATATATATATATATATATATGAAAGAAAGAAAGTCATGAGCGTGAAATTATACATAGAAAAATCGCACGAAAAATCGGCACGCCGCAGCCGGGACTCGAACCATACTGGACCGGCAATCCAGAGACCCGTGGTTCGAGTCCCGGCTGCGGCGTGCCGATTTTTCGTGCGATTTTTATATATATATATATATATATATATTATATATATATATATATATATATATATATATATATATATATATATATATATATATATATATATATATATATATATATGTGTGTGTGTGTGTGTGTGTGTGTGTGTGTGTATGAATTAATAATGACATTATGTCTTTAGTATTCTTCCGAATAACATTCAACTAACACAAAAAGTAAGCCTATACCTGTTTTGTAACAACACTTTACAATACACATGTCCCTCAAAAACCACAAATACCAAGTTAAATTAATTTATGTTTTCTCATTATCATTTCTGAGTTTAAAACAAGTAAAAATAAAATCTACAAATTGTTTTATGATTTTTTCATAACCAAATGAAATTGCTTATTTCAGACATTTTTTAGAAGCTTAAATTCTTATGTTTTATTTCATAATATAAAATGCTGCGTTGACTAGTAAAAGCATTGCAAGCAGTAACAAAATGTAGCTCGTCTTCAACTGCATTTGAGTTGCATACTTCACAAAATATTTTATCAGACTTGATTTTTTATATCTCCCGATCTCTATTTGTAATTTGTGAGAACTTATCCTTAACTTTGTAAAACAAGCTCTAATATTTTTATCTTTGATTACTGCTTAATAAAGTTCCCTACAAAAATTTGTTTTAAACAGTGCATAAGTACGTAGTTTTCCATTATTGTCTACCGCATTTTTCAATTTATCCATATATTGAAGTTTAAAAGTACTCAACAGTAGTTTTCGTACAACAAAATATAGATTCTTATCACTATATTGACTTTCGGGTATTTCAAAATATTTTAGTATAAAGAATACAGTGGATAACCAACTATTTTTTTTTTTGTTGTTGTTTTTAATTGTACAAAGTTTCACTTTCAACACGCTAATATATAGCGCGTCTTACAAAGCCATGCAGATTCATTGCTAATTCTACATCTAGCACAACAATTAAACTTTCTATTTTATTAACGTCTTGTTTGACTGCCATTAAAACGCATGTAATTAGATACTGTGATAAAGTGTACGAAAATACCGGTAAACATCTATTTTGGTCCATTAAGAATTCCGGTGAAATTCTGGATAAATTAAAACTTAAGAACTATCAGGCTTCAACTGTCAGTACATACGATTTTTCTACCCTTTACACTACACTGCCACATAATTTAATTAATGATAAATTAATTTCCCTTATTCAGAAAACCTTTGCACGGGAAAAAGTTACATTTCTTGCATGTAACTCTCAAAAAGCCTTCTTTACAAACTGTATTGTAAAACAGTATACTGTGTGGACCTGTGACGAAGTTTGTTGAGCACCCTCTTTTCTTTTAGACAATATTTATGTCAGGTTTGGTAATACCCTATTCAAACAAATAATAGGAATTCCTATGGGTACTAATTGTGCACCCCTGGTCGCTGATTTGTTTTTATATTGCTATGAAAGAGACTTTATGTTGAGTCTCTCTGAAAATACACAACAAGAGGTTATATCAGCATTTAATAACACTTCCAGATACCTTGATGACATTTTTAATTTAGATAATTCTTATTTTGATCAAATAAAATTTATCCTACTGAGCTACAACTTAATAAAACAAATTCTTGAAATTTAACAACATCATTTTTGGATCTTCATATCACTATCAAAAACAATTCTATTCACACGAAAATCTATGATAAAAGAGATGACTTTGATTTTAGTATAGTAAATTATCCTCATTTGGATGGAGACGTACCGAATGCAACATCTTACGGGGTTTATATATCTCAGTTAATTAGATTCGCTAGGGCTTGTAGCAACGTAAGGGATTTTAACTAGCGAAATATTTTCATTACCGGTAAGCTACTCAAACAGGGCTACCGCTATTATAAATTACGTAAATATTTTACAAAATTTTACTATCGTAACTTTGATTTAATTTCAAAATTCAATAGTGATCTAAAAACACTTCTGCGACAAGGGATTAGCCAGCCTGATTTTTACGGGGATGTTGTTTACAAACTTCGTAAAATCTTGGGTCATTGTAATTTTTCTGTTGTGTTTACTAAATTAATTAAACGTTTTATTAAAAGGGGTTATGACCCTACTATTTTAAGACATACCGCATGCTTAGTGTTCATACCATTTACAGTTGGACGCTACGCTTTCCTCTTTTGATTACGGACCAAGTAGGAGACTCTATGATGTACAGTTCTTAAAGCCCTTTGGGACTGAATTGCCTTAATGTTTGTCTTCTGTCTTTCTTCGTCGGGCCCTTGTAGGTGATTTTCTTGTTGCTCTGTCTTCCTTTAAGACATCGAGTACTTTTGTTATGGTCATTGGGTTTACTTTTATATGTTTCTACATGATCATTTTAGTGTTTTACTTATTTAACCTTTTGTAACCATAACAACTGTTAGAATTTCACTTGGCGGGGATTCATTTTATTTACACTGTCTTGTTTATAGGAACATGGTGGGGCTAAGAGCGAGGTTTGGTGCACCATTAACCGGTTTAAACTCCCCAGCAGTATTTATGCTGCTGACCGTTCCAAGGCGGCGCCCCTCTGTGTTCCTTAGATGTCTGTCTATGTTGTTTGATACTGTTTCGGTGACACGTTTGTGTCTCTTGTTGTTTTCTCGTCTACGGTAAGTATCTTCCCCCTTTGCCCCTATTTTTATTTATTCTATTTATACACTATTTATATACTAATCAAGCTAAAATAATATAGGTCATGTCATACAAGATACAAGAGACTTTATTTCAAGTCGGTTTACAAATTACTAGAAACATTAGCTAATAAGCTATTTACCGACAATGACAGAGACATAACATAATTACTAACATATAACAGATTTGAAAAGTAAAAACATTTAAAGCTAGAAGCATCTGTAGGCATGAAATAAAGGTAGCAACATTGAGAAGAACTATACAATAAGATGAAAGATTAAAGCACAGTATGAAGACATGCATAGCACATATTGAATTTCAAGGGACAACAGTTTATACATAATTATAAGATTTTCTAAAATATGACTTACTTAAAAAGTACATAAAAGTTTTGTGATAAAGAAAAAACGTTAAATAAAGCACATACAGGATAACAAACAAAGTTAACTTAAATAAAGTTGCATGCTCAGCATAATGGAAGGAAAATCAGGAATTTTAATAAAAACAAACATATATAAGCCAGACAGCAAGGATACAACTAACATAAAAATACGGGGTTTAAAGGAAAAATAACATACAGCATTTAATCTAAGCAAAATAAAATGGGTGCACAAAAAAAACTAAAAACAAAAGTGAACAATCAAACAAGCATTCTAAGCATACATGCACCCACCTTGCTCCGCCTTTTAAAAAAGTTGCTGTCAATTAATAAAAAATAAAGTTGCCAAGCTCATGATGCAATAGATGACCGAAATGAAATCATGCATCCAAATATTGTTACTTAAGATGAATTGTACGTGATGTTCATGATACTTTTCATGCTATCTGTTTTTTTTTTATTTCTCTTGCTTTTCCCAACATACTATGAAACTATAGGGATATACCAGCTGTCTATCAAATAGATGAATGTCTATGAGTTTAATGCATGTTTTTTATTCAAATTTTGAATGATATTGTATTTGCCATTTTTTCCCTATGATTTTGTTAATGGCAAGTTCTTATTCTTTCCCAGAACAGTTTTCTAATAGAACAGCTACCACCTAACATTTCTTCAATGCCCACATCTAAGAAGTTTAATGTGGCTGTTCGTCTTTTCGAATTGGCTTGATGAGCCAATTGTCTAAATCCCGAAGTCTCGGTGAGGAGTTTGACCATTTGACAGAAAAGGAAAAATGTTAGATGATCATCTTTTCGTACCATAGGAAAAATCTTACTTCAAATCAATATGTGGTTTGACCATAATTACACATCCATGGTTAATATATGATGAACAAAAACAAATGCCGTCATTCTTTCCAACCCGCCGAGGAAATGCATTTATATGTTTTTGACTTGTTTTCAAATCCTCTTCCGAATTTAATTAAATTATAAAGTCATTCAATGTCTTCTGGTTGTAATTTATGAATCTATGTTAGAAATTTTTGGAAATATAAATTGTTTAAACTAACAAAACATGTTCAAACCTGTTCTTGCATAAAAATAATTATTCAAATTGTACATAATTTCAAAGACAACATAAGTGAAGAAGGAAAAACTTTGCCATAGAAGTATCGAAAGTAGCTGCTACACCATCTAGAATATGGGGAAGTATTGTGAAATTGGTAAATGCATGATCTATAGACGACATTTATCATATATTGAAAATATATTAGTTAAGACTTTTATTTACTTTTAAAAAAAGCTCGAATTTACTCATTTTGTAACTTTCGCGAAAATTAATATGAAAATTTTCATATCGTTTGAAGTAGTCTCTGTGACATCATTAAGACTTGATCTTAATTTCAATAAAATATCTTAGTACGTAATTATGATATTTTTTTTAAAAATATTCATAATCTTCCAAAAATTATTTTACTTTGACAAAAGAAAATCAAACGCAGTGAATAGATGAAGTTTCATGATATCTTAATTACAGGTACTTATTTTTATCCGTTCTTTCTATTGTAACAAAAATACATTAACTAAAAGGTATATCTTATGAACAAGAGTGGCACAAACTAAAGGTATACCTTATGAACAAGGGTGGCACAAACTCCTGTTAAAGTGTTACACTTTAAACTACATGTATTTGTCTTGAAAAGACATACAAATATATAAGAATTAATTATTTAACATTTACAGATTCCAGAAATATCCAAACACCATTAAATACTGATTCTAAGAAGCATATTAATATTTTCTTATTAACTTACCTAACTAATGATTTTTTTCCTGGGACTTAATATGGACACTATTCTTATTTGCCTAGTGTTAAAATATTTGAAACCGACAAATTTTGCAATTTCGCCATAAATATGATACCACAGATATACATACACTAATTAATCTCCATGATGATACACAAAATCAACCAGTTCAATGAACGCAATCCGGCAAGGAACGAAGGAGAACCCCAAACAAAAACAGGACAGGACACAACACAGAGCACGAACAGGATAATCACTTAAATGATACTTATGAGGAAATAATAATAACCAACAAGGATATATAAAACGACATTGCATGTAGAGATATAACACAAATTATACATTTTTCAATGGACCTTTTCTAATTGTTCTGACAACATAAAGCATCGTAATTCTCAAAATAGTTTCAGTGCTTCTACATCCAAATATAACTTCTTTATTCTTGATTTTTGTTTCAATGTAATCAATATCAGAAAAAATTATTACATATATAAAGCTCTATGTCAATACTTACAAAAAAGTGGTGACAATAATTGAGGTATATGTGTGTGTCGGGGGTGGGGTCAGGAAAGCTTGTCAGGAAAAAAAAACTGTGTTAAATATAGACATGTACATGTAGATATCAGTTTGCAGACAAAAGAATGCAATATTTTTTTGTGTTTGTTACCTCAGAGGTGATTGTATATTGATGCAATGCCATGGTAACTTCGTGGTAGTTGGCAGTGAATATGGTAAGGTAAGTTTTCCTGGTGATTCTATCCACCTTCCACTTGTCCAGTCTGTGAATTAAAATACATATATGTGATATTGACACTAATTAAAGTGAAATTAAATTTAAATTGAAGGGGCCAGTTAACCTTACAAAATGTAAATTTACATGTGTTCCTTTTATTTCATTCTGGTCATCATATTTGTACTTTTTTAAACCGTAGATAATTATATACACGTTGTTCATGTGAAACACATTACAAATGTAAGTTACACGATTTATCAAATTTATGTAACTTAATCCAACATTACTTAACATTAAAATACTTTCCGTACTTTAGGTTCCGAATGATGCTAGATTGAAACGATATTTTAAAGAAGTTATTCGTGCACGGCATAATATGAATGAACATTTTTAACAATTTGCAATTTAACAATTAGGGCTAATTAATTCCACTGATATTGAACTGTGAAGTAAGTTATATTTGCTCAAACAAAGTAATTGAGGGTTTTGACCAAGTATTGCTGCTTTTTGCATGTATTATTGCAGGTGAAGGAGTCGGCATCCAGATTCCTGTCACTTGCCCAACACTCGCCACCTCATAAATTTCAGCTTTTGTTAGTTCAACACAAATGAGACAATTGTGTCAGTCATAAAATTGTTTGATTCAATTTCCACGTAAATTATTTTTTTAGCATTAACATCTCTGAATTTAGTAAAAATGCATACAAAATTGTCACAACACAACCAAACACCAAGAAACTGCCTCCTCAAGCATTCAAAACAAGATTCAGCATGGCTTCCACTCTTTTAAATGGAAAAGAGTCAACTCGGCCCTATACCAACTCGGCACGGGTCAACTCGGCACGGGTCAACTCGGCCCACTTTACAAAAATATATAGGCCTATAACGCATTTACTTTGCTTTGCATGTTGTTAAGGTAAATGAATAATAAGAAATATATTATTATTATTATATAATTATACATTGTACCTCTGCTGAAATAAAGTATATTTAGAAAAAAAAGTTATTTATTTGTCTTGCAGATTCGATAAAATTAATAAAGACACAGGCAAGATTATCGAACCTGGGAAGAAAAAATATGAACATATTGATAAAATAACTTCATATTTTTTTCTTCCCAGGTCCGATACTTGTGCCTGTGAATATAGATATAATAAAAATGTGTTTCCTTAGACGCATTTTGTTTGTAAAGTAATTTTCAAAAAAATATGAAACAAAAACATGTTTACTTAATAGCATAAGCTTCTAATTAATTGCAGGTGGTCACTAATCAAATTTGAATGAATGAGTCAATCATAATTATCACCTGATTAATCGGTATCTTTAACATACACATTGATTGATAATAATAGCCCGTGACAATAGGAGTCCTTTGATGTCCTTTACCCATTAAAGTGGGCCGAGTTGACCCGTGCCGAGTTGGAATAGGGCCGAGCTGACTCGGGGGCCGAGTATGTTTTAGGGCCGAGCTGACCCGGATTCTTTTAAATTTCCCAACAAACTTTACCACAACACAGAATCAAAAGAAAATTTACTAATTCAGCAATTTCAAGTAAGTCCCCTTCTAATTGGAAAAAAGATTAAATACCACTTTAAATCTAATCTTGACTCATTCTGTAAAATGAATTTCAAGGACATATGTCATCGGGTACCCTAACAGTGATTTTCCTGCTTATATAACAGACTCTGATAAATGGCCTCTTCCCAATTGAAATTTTCTTTAAAATCATGCAGTTTTCCCAAATATCTGAACTTAAACCTGCTTTTTTACTTCCCAAATTAGCAATTTTAGCGATAATTTTTCCCAAAATCAAGTGACTAAGGACTCATCCCCATTAAGTGAGAAAAATCACTGCCAAAATTCATCTCTGCGCTAGACTCAATATCGTAGGGTGCCCTAAATTTGTCCCTGTCCTAGACTAAACACACTGTAATATCGTCGTGGGTGCCCTAAATTTGTCCCTCTCGTAGACTAAACACTACTGTGTATGTCAAAAAGTCTCAACAAATGTTTGTTAAGTAAGAAAACAGTTGGATATTTTTAAACAACAAAGTAAATTTAATGTATCTCCAAATTTCTTCAACATAAAACGCTTGGATCATTACAAATATAGTTTATTTAACTAGCACTGTAAAATGCTTTGGCTATAACGAATCATGGCCACCCATGGTTATGACGCAAATCCTGTGCCACAACCTGAAGTCAAGAAAGAGCAACACTAAAGAATGCCTAACATCTTAATAAGTGCCAATAGCAAAGAAAAACTTATAGTCAACATAACCCCACAAAGCAAGTGCCGGTGAGAAGATAAAGTCAATTATATGTATCCTTAAAACAATGACATCTGAACGTCGCAAATGTAGCCCCAATCTACAAGAAGGCCACAGATCAAACCTAGTTAACTACAAGCCAATTACCCTGACGTGTATGCTGTCAAACTCTCAAACACATTGCTGCCTCATCACTCACAAAGTGACGTACAGACGTAATTTACACACTTACTAATCCATACAAAGTATATGATCTGGGCAAGTTACATAACTATGGCTTCCATTTGCACCAAGTAATGGCCCTTTTCAGCACTTAGAAAATGAATAATGGTTATCAGGTTAACCTAAACCGGCAAGTTGGAAATATCTTATGTTCTTTCTGAACTAATGGCTTAATAATTTTCACACTTACTTATCAATACAATGTACATGATATTGCCAAGTTATATAAATGTGCCATCCATTTTCCCAGTAATTTCCCTTTTTATCACTTTGAAAATAGGGCTTGTATGGTTAACCTATTCCGCCAAGTTGGATTTATCAAAAAAATTCACCTAATTACTTAATTTATTTAATGATATCTTTCATATTTGGTAGGTGGATACCTTTAACGGTCCTCTATTTTTTTGTGGCGTTAGGCATCTCTAGGTCAAGGTCACTTATGTAAAAAAAATAAATCTAAGCATTTCTGCTCATACAGCCATTATTTTTGTGTCGCCTCTACGTAGTAGTGGCGACATTCCGTCGTCTGTCTGTCCGTCACAAAACTTGTCCGGACTACTCCTCATAAACTACTGATGCAATTTCATCCAAACTTTACAGGAATGATCAGTACCAAGTCTAGTTGTGCATATTGTCAGCATTTTCTGGTTCAATGATTTTTGTCAGAGTTATGGCCCTTTAATAATTTTTATTTTTAAAGTTTGTCTGGACTACTTCTCTTATACCACTAATGCAATTTCAATGAAACTTTACAGGATTGATCTGTAGCTCAAGTCCTTGCGCATATTGCACGGGTTTTCCGGTTAAATGATTTTTGGCCGAGTTATGGCCCTTTGATAAAAAGGTGATTTTTTAGCTCACCTGTCACAAAGTGACAGGGTGAGCTTTTGTGATCGCTTTTCGTCCGGCGTCCATCCGGCGTCCGTAAACTTTTACTTTAAATGACATCTCCTCATAAACCATTAAGCCAATTTCATCCAAACTTCACAGGAATGTTCCTTTGGTGGTCACATTTGAAAATTGTTCAAATAATTTAATTCCATGCAGAACACTAGTTGCCATGGCAACCAAAAGAAAAAACTTAAAATATCTTCTTCAAAAAAACCCAAAGAGCTAGAGCTTAGATTTTTGGCATGAAACATCTTCTGATGAATGTCTACCAAGTTTGTTCAAATAAAAGCCCTGGGGTCAAAATTGGCCCCGCCCCAGGGGGTCATTGATTTTCCCTATATACATATAGTAAAAACTTAAAAAATCTTCTTTTAAAGAACCCAAAGAGCTAGAGCTAAGATATTTAGCATGAAACATCTTCTAATGGGTTTCTACGAAGTTTGTTCAAATAAAAGCCCTGGGGTCAAAATTTGCCCGGCCCTGGGGGTCATTGATTTTCCAAATTTCCTTTTATGTGTATAGGAAAAACTTAAAAAATCTTCTTTGGAAAAAACCAAATAGCTAGAGTTTAGATATTAATCATGAAACATCTTCTAGTGATTGTCTACAAAGTTTGTTCAAATAAAAGCCCTGGGGTCAAAATTAGCCCCACCCCGGAGGTCATTCATTTTCCCTATATGTGTAAAACTATAGCAAAAATTGCAAAATCTTCTTTGAAAAAATTCAAATAGCTAGAGTTTAGATATTAAGCACGAGGCATCTTCTAGTGAGTGTCTTCAAAGTTTGTTCAAATAAAAGCCCTGGAGTCAAAATTGGCCCCGCCCCGGGGGACATTGATTTTCCTTATACAAGTATAGCAAAAACTTAAAAATCTTCTTTGAAAAAACCCGAATAGCTAAAGTTTATATATTAAGCATTAAACATTTTCTAGTAAGTGTCTACAAAGATTGTTAAAATAAAAGCCCTGGGGTCAAAACTGGCCCTGCCCCAGGTGTGTCATTGTTTTTAACTATATGTGTAAAGAAAAAACTTTAAAAAATCTTCTTTTAAAAATCCCAACGAGCTAGACCTTAAATGTTTAGCATGAAACATCTTCTAATGGTTGTCTACAAAGTTTGTTCAAATAAAAGCCCCGGGCTTTAAACTGGCCCCGCTCCGGGGGCCTATATACAGGTGAGCGACTTCAGGGCCATCATGGCCCTCTTGTTCTGTGTGTTGCCAGATACACAAAAGCTTGTCCGGACTACTCCTCATAAACTACTTGTGCAATTTCATCCAAACTTTACAGGAATGATCAGTACCAAGTCTAGTTGTGCACTGTCCGTCTGTCTGTCTGTCTGTCACAAAACTTGTCCCAACATGAAATTGGCCATCATGAGGCGACACATGTGATCACTGATCGCTCTTGTTAAGTTAATGTCTTTCATGTTTATAATAGTCATACCAAGGGAAGTCCTCTTCCTTTTCCTTTAGTAAGGGGTCATTTGGGTCAAGGTCACCAATGTCAAAAATAGATTTTTTACACTTTTACAGGTGTATTAACCTTATTCTATCGACAGATGTCTTGTATATTTTGTAGGAACATAAAATTGAGGTATTCTCATTTGGATGGAGGTAGGGGTCTGTTGGGTCAAGGTCACCAGTGCTAAAAATAGATTTTACACTTTTGCTCGTACAGCCTTTACTTATTGACAGATTTGTATTATAATTGGTAGGAAGATAACTTACATGGTATTCTTCCTTTGGATGGAGTAAGGGGTCAGTTGGGTCAAGGTCAACAGTGCTAAAAATAGTTTTTTTACACTTTTGCCCATACAGCCTTTATTTATTGACAGATTTATTTCATATTTGGTAGGAAAATAACTTGCATGATATTCTTCCTATTGATGGAGGTAGGGGTCAGTTGGTCAAGATCAAGGGTGCCAATTACAGATTTCTACACATAATTGGTTTTCTTCCATACAAATTAGCTACTTCACTCTCTAAAGTTAAATTATTGACAACAGTGAGCGCTGGGGCATTTGTGTTTATCAAACACAGATTCTTGTTTAAATTTAGCAACTTGTGTATTTAAGTGTGTGAGATCAAAATTTGAGCATGTATTATTACTATAAATGTGAGCCAGTTAATCAGTTAACAGCTTTTTCTAGGAATTGATCTCAGGAGAGCCATTATGGTCCTCCTGTTTTCATGTATTTATATACATGTATATATTGTTAATTTCAGGACGCTATAATGGATGATGACGATAGGCACCTCTGTATTGTTTGTAACCAGACCATTTCCGGATTACTTAATTATGTACTCCATAGAAAAAGTAACTGCTCCGACCAGAAAATCTCTGGGAACAAGGATTATTCCCCCGAGGAGGCAGTTAAAGTAGAAGTTAAGCATATTGAAGACCAAAGACATAACATCTTTCAAAACAAAGCTAATGAGTCTTTGTTGAATGAACAACAAACTGAAAATCAGACAATAATTCTTCAGGATAACTCATTTGATCAGTTACAGTCTGGGCATTCCAGTGTGTTGATAGAAAATAATGGGAGAACTGGATTAGTTCAAGGAAGACAGAAGGAAACAATAAGACAAGGAGAAACCAGTCTGCTTGGTTCTGGTTATGATTACAATGTTAATGTTGTGCCTAACTCTAACAAAGATGGCTATGTCTATACTGTAGATAGTACAAATGAAGATTACAGTGATGGTGATGATGAAAAGTTAAGTTATGCAGACACTTACAGTGCCCAGTGTAATGACAATACACAGTCTAATAAAATTATTGATGATCGGTCAATTGAACAACCTTGTGCTGAAAATAACAAAGAAACAGCTTTACTTTATTCAGTAGAACCTGGAGTTAAAGAAAGTGGATCTGACAGTAAAGAATGGAAAATTAAAGCTGATTTGAATGGACCAGATGATTCTCCTGTCGTATCTGAATTTGGAATTCTAAGTTTTAATGTGAACGGCTCATCCAAGAAAATTTTGGGCCTTGATATCAAAGAAGGCATAACAGATCCAAATTTTGGGGACAAAATAAAAGAAGAAACTAACGGCAATAATAAAAGAAAAACAGGAAGTAAAAGGTAAATTAACATTAATTCTTTTAAAGGAAAACCTGTCCTTGCTAACAGTGATAATGACACGCTTATGTCTCCAGTGTAAAACCATGTCAGCCTACTTTATAGAGTTTGAGTGGACTGTATTCTGCTTAAAATTGCAATTTGATCATGAAATCTCTTAAAGTAGCAGCAGATATGTTCATTTAGTTTACCAGGGCTACAGATAACATTTTGTGATCTATTGGGTTTTTATGCACCCCGAAAAATTTCGGGGGAGCATATAGTCGCCGCCTTGTCCATCCGTCTTTCCGTCCGTCCCCTTTTCTTGTCCGGGACATAACTTTGAAACAACAAGAGGTATCAACATGAAACTTTGTAGGTAGATAGATCTCATTGAGTAGGGGACAAGAACCGTAACTCTGCCTTGCCTAATTTTTGAATTACAGTGGAACCTGTCTAATCCGAACTCGTCCGGACCAGAAGAAAAGTTCGGATTAGAAAGGTTTCCGGATTAGAAAGGTTTCAGGATTAGAAGGTTTTTTACATGTTTGTTCATGTTATTGGCAGAATAGTTTAAGGAAAGAAAACGGGAATGCATTTGAAATTGCAATAAAATTATTTATTTTTGCAATCTCTTATCGTTCATTTTAATACATGTGAATACAAAAAATAAATAGATAAATAAAAGTAAATAAATAAGCAAAAATGTTATATTCTCAAGGGTAAGTTAATCTACGATGTTAAACAGAAGGCTGAAACATGATTAAATATTTGTACCAGCATTTGTCAATTGTTGTTTACTCTTATCCGATTTAGTGATTATCCGAATTCACTGACATTTCCATCAATTTTCATTACTTAATCACATGTCATTAAATCCATTACAGAAGATAAAAAGATATTTCTATTGCATTATATCAAAATTTTTATTGAAGGTGACGATAAACAATCAATTAAGCAATTATAGTAGATATCAAGGCAAGCTCAGTGTAATTTTCACACCTTCGCAAATAAAACGTTTCACCCATTAATCAAGCAAAATTACTCTTAACAATTTGGTGTTGTTTATACACCTGCACGATGTGCGAGTTTTTGATATTTTGAATGTAGGTGTGACATTTTGCAAAATCTGTTCGGATCCCAGAGGTTAATTTTAGAGTAAAATAAGAACAAAAATTTACAAAATCGTCCGGAATACGGAGTAGACAGGTTCCGGATCCGAAAGGTTTTTTACTATTGAAAATAGAATTAATAAAATCGGGACCGGACACTTTGTTCGGATAAGAAAGGATTCCGGATTAGAAGGGTTCGGATTAGCAAGGCTCCACTGTATTCCCCTTTGTTTATTTTTACACTTTGAACTTTGTCCGGGACATAACTCTTAAAGTATAAGAGGTATCAACATGAAACTTTGTAGGTAGATAGATCTCATTGAGTAGGTGTGCAGTGCACGAGAACTGTAACTCTGCCTTGCCTAGTTTTTGAATTATCCCCCTTTGTTTATTTTACACTTTGAAATTTGACCGGGACATAACTCTAAAACTATAAGAGGTATCAACACGAAACTTTGTAGGTAGATAGATCTCATTGAGTAGGTGTGTAGTGCACAAGAACCGTAACTCTGCTTAGCCTAATTTTTGAATTATCCCCCTTTGTTTATTTTACACTTTGAACATTGTCCAGGACATAACTCTAAAACTATAATAGGTATCAACATCAAACTTTGTTGGTAGATAGATCTCATCGAGTAGGTGTGCAGTGAACAAGAACCTTAACTCTGCCTTGCCTACTTTTTTAATTATCCCCCTTTGTTTATTTTTAGCTCACCTGTCACAAAGTGACAGGGTGAGCTTTTGTGATCGCTTTTCGTCCGTCCGTCGTCCGTCCGTCGTCCGTCCATCGTCTGTCCGTAAACTTTTACTTTAAATGACATCTCCTCATAAACCACTAAGCCAATTTCATCCAAACTTCACAGGAATGTTCCTTTGGTGGTCACCTTTAAAAATTGTTCAAAGAATTTAATTCCATGCAGAACTCTGGTTGCCATGGCAACCGAAAGAAAAAACTTTAAATATCTTCTTTTAAAAAACCATAAGAGCTAGAGCTTAGATATTTGGCATGAAACATCTTCTAGTGAGTGTCTACCAAGTTTGTTCAAATAAAAGCCCTGGGGTCAAAATTGGCCCCGCCCCGGGGGGTCATTGATTTTCCCTATATGCATATAGTAAAAACTTAAAAAATCTTCTTTTAAAGAACCCAAAGAGCTAGAGCTAAGATATTTAGCATGAAACATGTTCTAATGGGTGTCTACCAAGTTTGTTCAAATAAAAGCCCTGGGGTCAAAATTGGCCCCGCCCCAGGGGCTCATTGATTTTCCCTATATGAATATAGTAAAAACTTAAAAAATCTTCTTTTAAAGAACCAAAAGAGTTAGAGCTAAGATATTTAGCATGAAACATGTTCTTATAAGTGTCTACCAAGTTTGTTCAAATAAAAGCCCTGGGGTCAAAATTGGCCCCGCCCCGGGGGGTCATTGATTTTCCCTATATGCATATAGTAAAAACTTAAAAAATCTTCTTTTAAAGAACCCAAAGAGCTAGAGCTAAGATATTTAGCATGAAACATGTTCTAATGGGTGTCTACCAAGTTTGTTCAAATAAAAGCCCTGGGGTCAAAATTGGCCCCGCCCCAGGGGGTCATTGATTTTCCCTATATGAATATAGTAAAAACTTAAAAATCTTCTTTTAAAGAACCAAAAGAGTTAGTGCTAAGATATTTAGCATGAAACATGTTCTAATAAGTGTCTACCAAGTTTGTTCAAATAAAAGCCCTGGGGTCAAAATTGGCCCTGCCCCGGGGGGTCATTGATTTTCCCTATATGCATATAGTAAAAACTTAAAAAATCTTCTTTTAAAAAACTCAAAGAGCTATGGCTAAGATATTGAGCATCAAACATGTTCTAATAAGTGTCTACCAAGTTTGTTCAAATAAAAGCCCTGGGGTCAAAACTGGCCCGGCCCCAGGGGTGTCATTGTTTTTAACTACATGTATATGTGTATAGTAAAAACTTAAAAAAATTCTTCTTTTAAAAAGCCCAATGAGCTAGAGCTTAGATGTTTAGCATGAAACATCTTCTTATGGGTGTCTACCAAGTTTGTGCAAATAGAAGCCCTTGGGTTAAAATTGGCCCTGCAACGTTGGGGGGGGGTGTGGGTGGGGGTTTGGGGGGGGCCTATATACAGGTGAGCGACCTCAGGGCCATCATGGCCCTCTTGTTACACTTTGAACTTTGTCCGGGACATAACTCTAAATGTATAAGAGATATCAACATGAAACTTTGTAGGTAGATAGATCTCATTGAGTAAGTTTGCAGTGCACAACTTACAGTCTCATTGGGTGGAAGTGCAGTGCTTAAGAATCATTACTCTGCCTTGCCTTATTTTGAAGTAATTGCCCTTTGTTTATTTTTACTTTTTGACTTTTGTCTGGGACATAACTTTAAAACTATTAGAGATATCAACATGAAACTTTGTAGGTAGCTAGATATAATTGGATAGAACTGCAATGCTTAAAGAACCTAAACAAAGCCTGGTCTAATTTTGGAGTTATTGCCCTTTGTTCATTTTTACACTTTGAATTTTACCCGGGACATAACTATGATATCATCAGGAAACTTAATAGATAGATAGATCTCATTGAATAGAAGTGCAGTGCAAAAAAACATAACTCCGCTTTGCCTAATTTTGGAGTTTTTGCCCTTTGTTCATTTTTTTATACTTTCCTGTGTCCAGAACCTTCTCGGGGAGCATCGCCCGGTTCAACCGGTTCTTGTTTCAATTTTCTTTGAGTTATTTCTGTATTTTTTACCCTACCCCCTCTAACCAATTTGGGTTATAAAGCACAAGTTCATGTATTTTACCCAAAATTTCTGACCTACATTGTAGACTGTTGTAGGTTTTGTATGGTTATAAAAAAGCTACTTACTACTTTGCTTTATGGTTTATTGGCCTAGGAGATTTCCAAGCTGCCTGATATAATTTAAAGGTTAGAACAGTCTGAAACAGTATGATCTGCCTGATGTACGCGTTAAGTAATAATTTACGTCATTACGCACCAGTTCAAATGTAGTTTGCATAAATAAGAATTCATTTACTTTTTTTTACCCTTAGTTATTATTTCTATTGGGTTTTTAGACATTTTAATTGGGTAATAAAGCAAATACGCATGTTATCTGCAGCCCTGGTTTACTTACTATGATGTGAATGCATGACTGATTTCCACCTTTTATGTATTTTGTTGAAATGTAAAGGAGCCTAAACTGTGTGCTTATTATTTTACAATATAAGATGTCAATTAGTTACATTATCACATGTATGACAATAACAATGTATATCAAGCTTAACTACATGTAAATGTAATTTTTAGTTAAGGTGAATTTCAAACTTGCTTAGAGACTTTTTTTTTGCACTAGTCCCCTGTCTTGACTTACTTGATTTTATGCTTATTTCAGAAATGGTGAAAAGGCTCCCAAACGGAGAAGAAAATCTAAAAAAATTGATGCAGTCCAGACATGCATTGGAGATAAGCAAACAAGGTCTAAAAAAGTCAAAGGAAATACAACAGAAGGAACCAAAACTATTGAGGTTAATATGTTTGTTGATTCAAATGAGGCTGTAGGAAATGATTCATGCCCTAGTGTTAAAGATACAGAGCTTGATGGTGAAGAAGTACATGTAGACTTTAATTCATTGAGAGATAATGGAACTCCTGATAAAGATACAATTGGAGGGAATGTCTTTTCAAGGCATGTTGAACCTGATGAGGGTAGCTTCAGCGTTAATGTTCAGATTGAAAAGAAAGGGTTAGATGATGTTACTAAGTTTGGAAGAGATGGACTTGCAGTTAATGGATCCCATCTTTGTACAGTATGTTATCAATTGTTTCCAAGCAAACAAAAGTTACTGAACCATCTGCTGACAGAATGTCAACAGTCGGGGGCTGGTGATCTGAACGATGAACAGTTTAGTTTAACGGAGACAAACCAGAAGGCCATCATAAGCAAAAGTGCATTCCGCTGTGATATGTGTATGTTTTATTTTAACAGCAGTGTTTATCTTGAACAACATCTAAAAAGCAAAACTCATAGAGAAAATCTGGCAACTGCTGATGGATACGCCATGTGCTCTGTGTGTAAATTTATTGCTAAAAGCAATTTGCAAATGATCAATCATTTTCATGGTCCCAGCCATATGGAGAAAGCCAAACAGAACAATCAGAATTGTGTGATTCAAGTTTGTAAAATGCAGAATAAAAAAATAAAAGTTTGCAAAATATGCCCATCAGAGTTAAGTAAAACCTCTTCATCCAAGCAACACTTTAAAACTGCTGAACATATTAGACGAGAATTAGCATTGAACACTGAGAGCGAATCACTACAAAAGGTTGAAGAAGAAGACTGTGATGAAAATATTAAAGCAGAATTTACTAATGATGATGACCAGGTCAAGAGGAACGAATATTTTGAGCTAGAAACTAACAACCATCATAAAAACATTCAAAATGGGCAAAGTGTAGATTTTGATATTGATGTGATCAAGAAAAATGGAGAACTTGCTGTGAATAATAATTCAACAAATTTGTTGGATGATGATAATAATGAAATGGTAAAGACGAGTACAGATATGCCTGCAAATCAGAAAAAAGTTAGACTATCTGTGTGTAAATTTTGTGCATTTGAGACTAGAAACTACAATGAGATGAGAATGCATTATATGAAAGAACATTCCAAAATGGTAAAAATTTGTGAAGTATGTGACATAGTGTTTCCACATGGAAGAGGTTACAAATTACATATTAACAGCAAGGATCATCAGGAAAATCTTGAAAAGTTTGGTGACAAGAACTTGTATCAGTGTCACGTCTGTCAGAAAAAATTTGCAGAAGAATCGTACGCAAAATTTCATACGGCATACTATCATTACCACCTGAACTCGGAGGAGGGCTTGTTGAGACAGGGTGTGGAAAGTGTAACAAGGACAAAATATGCAGACTTTCTTGAAAGCATAAAGGGAAAGGGAAAAAATTGCCAGGTTTCTTGTCCTGAATGTGGTGTTTCTTTGAGGCAAGTTAACATGATTGGTCATTTACGTTTACATACAGGCGAAAAACCTTTCAAATGCAATCTTTGTTCCGAGATATTTTATAATACCTTTACTTTAAGGAGGCATCTAGTCTTGCATTTTGAGTGTTGGGAAAAATCATGTGAGGTTTGCGGAGAAAGTTTCAAATGTCCAGGAACATATAACTGTCATATGAACATTCACAAGGCAAAGGTCACAGGGTCTGGAAAAACAAATGTATGTCATATATGTGGAGATGCTTTCTACGTTAAAAGGCAACTTCAAGAACATATGGTGAGCCATGTTGAAAAAAGTTTACAGTGTGATTTTCAAGGTTGTTTATGGACTTTCTCAACAAGTAATGCTTTAAAACGACACAAGTTAACACATACAAATGAAAATCCGTTTATCTGTCCAACTTGTGGATATTCAACAAAGTCAGACAAATATTTAAAGAAACATGAACAGATACATACGAAAGAGAAACAGTTTGTTTGTGAACACTGTCCGTACAAGGCCATGACAAGGACTCATTTGAGGCGCCATATGAGAATCCATCTAGGTGTAAAACCTTTTAAATGCCCGTATTGTTCGTATGCTTGTAATACACATGATAATATCCGTAAACATATACTTGAGACCAGTTTTCACAAAGGGTTAAAAGTGTATCCATGTATACTATGTTCATATTCAACAAACTGTACGAAAGATTACCGGACACATATCCTTTTGAACCACAAAGAAATCCCGGAGGAAAATTTACGAGGCAGCTCATTGGCTGCTTTGTCTGGACTCTTCAACAAGGAGGAAGAAACAAAAGCAATTACTGACTGCACGGAAATATTCCCATGTAAAGAGAGAAAACCATCGAAAAAGAAACCTTTGAATGTGGATAATAAAGAAACTCTACAACAGGAAGTTGTTATTGACCAAGAGATTATTTTTGAAGAAGTGGAAAATTTGTAAAGATTACATTTCCAACTTAAGTAATAGAAGCTAATGTATTTATTCAAGAGTTGTGAAAATTAGCTTTGATAATGTTGTGTAATATCTTTACAGGGTTTTAATTGTTAACAGATTGGCAATCCATATCTGATATCATTGGATAAATGCTGTCAGCTGTATTTTCAGCCTGTATGTTAAAATATCACCCTTGACCCTTGGCCAATTAGGCTGTTTTCATTGGCGCATGTTTCATCTCAGATAAAAAGTGAAAACCCTGCATTTATTATCAAAATTCATTGTATTGTGTACTTCAACCTTACACCTGCTGAAGTTGCATAATGGATTTGTCTAGCCTTGAATTTGGAACAATCCATTTGAAATTTAAGGGATTTTGATACCAAAATACAAAAATTAAGCTTTCAGCAGTTAGACTGCACAGATGTTTTCACAGATATATAAATGCAAGCTGGTCTTGCTCTATACTGATGACAGAGGCTAATCATTTCAGTTTCAGTAAGCTAAGGGTTATGATATATTTAAAGCTGCATGCCTCCAGATGAGCCAAAATATTTCAAGAAAATCAAACTTGAGAAAAATGTACTAGAGGTTTTAAGAAAAGTAAAAAGCTCAAGATTCTACAAATGATTTCCACTTTATTATATTTACATTGTATTACCATATTTCTACTGCGTTACTAACGCTGTTACGGGTAATTTTGCATATTTTGACCTCTCTTTGGTAATTAAGTGAATTATAATGGTATTTGCAATGTGCAAAATACTTTCTTTGTTCACTTCACAATATTTTACTTTTAAATACTTTTTCAATATTTCCATAAAAATTATTATGAATTTGGAGGCATGCTGCTTTAATATTGGGGTAATGAAGAATACTGAAATCTCATATACTGTATACTCTGGACAAAGTAGGGAAATATTATCATTGAATACTCATTATCACATTGCCATGCTGCTTTTAGGACTCGCATAAAAGGGTATTGAATAACCATGCATAAATTTGTGTACAAACAGTGTAGATACTACATTTTATCATTGCACTATGAGCATGTTGAATGAAAAATGATTTATTTTTACTATAAACAGTTCTTATTTTATTGTATGAGATCAATGTACAATATTATATATGTAAATGAATTGAACTCATCAAATAAAGTAATATAATAACTTTATTTATCTGGTTTAATAAATTCAGTATTGAACCTACAAAAGTAGTGATCCTGCACTCATTCAATATCTTTTATATATCCTTTATTTATCATTTAGTTTGATGGATTTCCGGGGGGGGTCATGGTTGTGTAATAAAAGACTTTTTTTAAACATATATCATATTACATGTATGTTCTACTGTTATCTATTGTATTGTGAGTGTGGAAAGACTATAGATTCCAGCTCTTATATAACTGTTTCCATGGTAACTTCAAAAATTGTCTAAATATGGGGGAAAATAACTGATACCATGCAAACTGAATATTTTCAGCTAGAAAAATATTAGTAGTTATAACAGTACATGTATATAATTACATTTATTAATATCATTTTACATGTTTGAGCAACAACCAAGCAGTGTCTTCATGTAAAAAGTGTTATGATTTCATTAAAAAGTAAAGAATTAAAAATACACAAAAATTGTATTCTGTTATGATTTATGGCACTTGTCATGATGTTACATTGTAAATAAACATGTAACTACATATTTTTTTGCCCATAGTTAAAAAGTGGGGGCAAATCAATAACTAGAGAAAGATTTGGCCTACAGTCCTAAAATTTAGTATGGATAGTAGATGACCCCTATTGAATTTGAGGTCAAAAGATCAAGGTCACTGTTACCTAGACCACTAAAACCTTAGTACGCTTTGGTCTACTGTCCTAAGATTAAGTGTGGCGTTTGATTATGATAAGTAGATGACCCCTATTGAATTTGAGGTCAAAAGATCAAGGTCATCTTTGATTAGACCACTAAAAATTTGTCCCACCAATAACTAGGGAACACTGGCCTACAGTCGTTCGATTTGGTGTGGAGGATGGTGATACATTGTATGTAAATGACCTTTATTGACCTCTAACCATGGCCTTGACCATTGACCCTCAAAATAGAGGTCATTTACATATGACCATCAGCAGTTTGTCTGATCAAAAACTAGAAAGTACTTTGGCTTACACTACATTTCTAAGTTTTGATTGTGAAGGTTTGTCCTGACTAGTGGATACCAAAAATTGAATTTGAGGTCATTAGGTCACTGTTGCCTTGACCACTTAAGGCTTGTCCTACCTAAACATGTAAATAAAGAATGCATGGAGGTTAGTCATGACTTAAATATGACCCCTAGAATAATTTATTTAAACTGAACGGAGTATAAAATTTTATTTTGCATAGATAATGAAATAAACTGCATTCTGTTTACAAAGGGAGGTAACCAGTTTGCAATTTAATATTTTTAGCTAAATGCATTATCTCCCTTTTAACCAATTTTTTTTTAAAATTGTTCTTTATGTTTTAGTTTATTTTCAGTCATCTGTATCTGTTATAATATATATAGTGGCTCACAGTATATAAACCAGTGTCGCAAGAAAGGTACAAGTTTGGCTCCGAGCTCAGAATGAACTGTGCTTCTAATTGAAAGACAATGACTATAAGCTCACAATACAGGGTACACTGATTTCCTTCATATATAAGAGGCTTGTTTTGGTTACCATCCCACTTATTTTGTTGTTAATCATCAATGTATGCTGATTGTAGAAAAATCTGGAAAAAGTGATCCTTGTTCAGAAGCATTTAAATCACAACAAAACGACATGAAAATTGCAGACTCATTTTGATTGAGTCTGTACTTTAGGGACTATGAAAAAGTGCAACATCTCTCACGCCCCCTAGCACCGGCTTAAGCAATACTCAATGTCAACACTAAAAAGTGTTGGAATCTATGATCACCGAATGACCAGAAAAATATAACAACACTGATAAGTGAAGTAGGGGCAACTATTTACAGCTGCCACACAGCACTTGACACCTGCTGTTGTGAAGTATAAAAATCTGGAAAAAGTGTGATCCCTTGGAAGCATTCATAACAACAAAATAACATTGAAGACTCGTTCAGCACTTGTTCAGATTTATTGTAATGTATTTGTAAAATAGGATCCCTTCTTTGATATTTTATCAAATCTTTGAGGACTTTGGTTTCAACTTTTATATGTCATGCTGGACTTACAGTGATCATGCTTATATGATAAATAGCCTCACCCTGAATTGACTCTAAGGTTTGATAGAGCTTAATTGTTTTGCATTCCTTTTTCTTAAGCTTAAAAGTTAAGTTTTGCTTAGTGCTATACTGATTTCTGAACTTTCTGATAATGTTTGGACAGTATGATTTAGACTATTTTTTATATCTTAGGTCTTAGTTTAGTTTATACAAATTTAATTTAGTTTGATTGTGTTGGAAGTTATAAGCTTATTGAAACACTCTCGAATTCGTTCCTGGAACCAACCAGTACTAAGCAATGACTGTTCAAGTTTCCTGCTCAAGGAAACAACGGCTTGCCCCTGACAGGGTTTGAACCCACGCGGTCAGCAATCCTTAGATTACAAGTCTAACACGTTCACCACTCGGCCACGCCGCCTTAGGTCTGGTCTTTTAATCCATTTTTTTTTAATCCAATTGTCACAGTTTCTGCAGATGGTGTTACTCCAAAATAGTTCATTTTTTACAGTGGATATTTTTTATAGAATAAAACAAGAGAAAATGGAAATGTCATTGATAGATGATTTTATATTTGGAGGCTCATTGATCTGACAGTATCCTCTATGTTGTGATTGAAACATCATTATTCATCAGGTTCCCTGTTAAAAGTTACATTTCACACTTGAAACATGTCACATGCTAGCAACATATCAATCTTAGAGAAAGAATAACAAAAACTTGAAATGTCATCAGTCATGTTTTTTTTAAGTTTCCCTAAAATGGGCACTATCAACTATTCAGAATTTCATAGAGCAATTTTAAGTTAACATTGTCAAGTAAATATGAAGGATTATACAGCACTTTAGCTATTTAGTTGTAATGACCAAAACTCAAATACCTTCCTAACCAGTAAAATATATATATAAATTTGAGTTCTTTTACAAAATAAGACTATGGCAGTATATCTGGAATAAAGATGATAATGCAAGAGTGCAGTGATAATAAGGAATAGTAGGACAATGATAACAAGAATAGTACAATGTTAATTATGTGATAGTGATGATAATAAAAGAACAGTACAGTGATGATAACATGATAGAACAGTGAAGAATGACAAATAGTAACTACCAGCAAGACTTTATAGTCAACTACAAGACTTTATAGTCAGCTATAAGACTTTGTAGTCAACAACAAGACTTTATAGTCAAATACAAGACTTTATAGTAAACTACAAGACTTTGTAGTCAACAACAAGACTTTATAGTCAACTACAAGACTTTATAGTCAACTGCAAGACTTTGTAGTCAACAACAAGACTTTATAGTCAACTACAAGACTTTATAGTCAACTACAAGACTCTATAGTCAACTACAAGACTTTATAGTCAACTACAAGACTAGTCAACTACAAGAATTTATAGTCAACTACAAGACTGAATAGTCAACTACAAGACTTTATAGTCAACTACAAGACTTTATAGTCAACTACAAGACTCTAGTCAACTACAAGACTTTATAGTCAACTTCAAGACTGAATAGTCAACAATAAGACTTAATAGTCATCTACAAGACTTTATAGTCAACTACAAAAAGGAATAGTCAACTACAAAAAGGAATAGTTAACTACAAACTGAACAGTCATGTACAAGACTAACTAGTTAATTACAAGACTGAATAGTCAACTACAAGAATGAATAGTAAACTTCTTGATTGAATTGTCAATTACAAGACTGAATAATTAACTTCTAAACTGAATAGTCAACAAAAAGACTGTGTAGTCAACTACAAAACTTTATTATACAGTAATTCAAGACAGCATTGTCTTGGTGCATAACATCATTAATTTCACTGTCAACGTTTTTTTTGACCAGTTTTGCAATGTCTTAAACAAATGATTATAAAAATTTGAGAGTTAAAACCATAGACTAAAATTTTCACCTGTGTTAACAGTGCAAGTTAGAGATGTTCTCTTTTCTGTTATCAATCATTGTAATGTACTGTAATACATGTATTTCTCATAGTGACAATTTTAATATTTGTCTGGATTTCTTAAAAAAAAGGAAAAAAAACAACAACAACAAAAACAGCTGATAAACATTCAAAATACATTTTACAGTAATTCACTTATGATTGGCTGAAGGACATAATGACTGACTGAATATCATATTTATTGCTTGAGGGAAGTTAAGATTGGCTGAAGATTCTTATAATGTCTTGAAAGTCTAATTCATAATATATTGGCTGAAGATCTTTATAATTGGTTAAAAACCTTTGATTGCTGGAAATGACTGGCTGAAGTTTTATAATTGCTTGAAAGTTGTTCGTATATTTTTGCTGAAGATCTTTACAATAAGGTGAATAGCTGAAGAGCTTTATGATTGGCTGAAGATCTTTATGATTGGCTGAAGATCGTTATGACATAGCAAATAGCTAAATATCAATAAGATTAGCTAAAGGTTATAAAAATTGTTACAACATTGATAGACAGTAATTTCAAAAGGTTGTCAGTATGATTTAAGGTTGAAATTTTATTGTTGAATGAATTTTCTGCATTGCCTTTCTCTTTAAGTCTTCTAATGTAAAATTACAAAGTGTAGAACTTATATAATTTTGTATGCTGTATTGCCAATCATATACATAAATCATGCCCTGGGGTAAAAAAGGCTTTTCCCTTGGAGTCACTTAATTTACATAGTCTTACATGGTAAATATGTCTTATTCTTCTCTTTGAAACTACAATCCCCAGAATGTAGATATTTTTCATGTAGTATTACACTGAGTCCTCTTTTAAATGTTATTTAAATCATGTCCCCGGGGTCTTAATTGGCCACATCCTGGGGGGTCATTCACATTTATAAAATTATATACTTTTTGAGAGAAAAAAAAACATTAAATATTCTCAGGTGAACATTCTGTAGCCACCAGGGCCTTCTATTTTCTGAAGTGATTATTTTTAGACAATCTTTCTTATGAACCAGTTACATTTAAACTAGCATTAATGTATATATGCAAAGAAATTTTAGTAATGGAACATAATCTCTTCTTTTAGACTGTGAATGTGCTTTCATATAAGTCTGTAAAATTGTTTTATAGTTCTTTGGTGCCAACAAATGTCATGTTTTATACTGTTTTGCAATTAATTTGTGATGCATTCTTTTTTAATGCTAGCTAAAAATTAATATGGTAATATTTTAAGATTCTTTAAATCTCATTTTACAGTCTTTATTCACAAAACTTTAATTGGTTAAACATTGTTCTGATATGATGTACAACTGTAAATTGACTAACACAGCTTTTATTTCATCTTGTATATCTGATAAAAGTATTAATTAAACATCTTGTTTTAAATATTGAGCTGGATCATAAATATACCATATTTCAATTAACAAATAATCAGAAAATTCCTTATAGTCTGTCAATTGTTTAATTGCTAGTTGAAGATGAGAATGTT